TAACACATATGTCGTTGTGATCGAATTTATCTTTTCTGCGACACACCAAACATAAAAAAGCATCGATTTTACTTTCATCCAACCGAAGGAATACAAATTTAATGGATTTTGTTTGTAAACGTTTTTACATAAGACGCTTATTCTTCCGGAACACCTGATCTTATTCTCCTCGTATTTTTTTTTACGTGTCTCCGTGTTAATCCTTTTTGTTCATATTTTATCCCAGTTTTATGGAATTTGAGTTTGAATTATGATTATGTTGCCATGTTGGTATTTATGTTTTTTTGCTACAGTATATCATTGCTTTGTCCTAAAGTACCTATGACCTCTTTCTCTATTCATGTGATGAAGCCCACTTTGTCGTGTACATGTGACTTGTGAGGTAATATATTATATTGGAATATCTTCATACTTCTATGTTCACACTGTCGATAATTCGCCATTGATACCTGTAGAACAAGATAAATAGATTTAAATAAAATGCAGTTTAGACAGAATTGCCTTACTTTACTATCGATTACTAATGAAATTCTGTTTAATATATATAAAGTATAGATATTAGTCTCAAAGCACAGTTAACTTGTCTATATGTTCTACGAAAGGAAAACAAAAATTTAGATATAATTTTGCAAAGGATCTGGTTCTTATATCATGTTGTAGAACTATTCAAGATAACCTACAGTTAGCTGGGAAGTACCTAATGACCTGCATTTAAGAAAGATATTGTCATTTAAATGTCACTTTCCCTCAAAAGTATATAAAAAAAAATACCAAAAACTGGAAAACATCACTACTCTAGCATCATGACACAACATGTTCTTCCGTCACACCATCAAACATGAAAATAATGTCAAAACAAGATTCATAATATAACGATATTTCATTTTCATCAAAAAGGTGAGACTGAGGCTGTTAGAGTTCCACTTGTTTTCACTCATGGATAAAAATAATACGGCGTTATCATTTTAAAGATTTTCTCAAAACAAAAGTTTAATGGAACTAAAGAAAAAAGAGGATGTTAAAGCTTTAACTTATTTCATTGTTTTGTTATACGAAAGAGAATACTATATAGTAGTAAGTTAACAGCTTGTTGTTCGATTCAATCAATAAAATTGCGAAATATAATATTCCTGTAGCCATTTTATAATAAGTATTTGTTTACTTGGAGTATCTACCCATGCCAGGCTGATTTTGGAAAAAAATACCTCCCTGGTTACTTTCTTGTAGGAATACCATCCTACCGGAAGCAATTGTGAGAAAGTATCAGTCCGAAAACACGACACAAAACAGTGTGTAATACAGGTCTCATAAAAACACAAAACGCATGTGGATGGGATCAATACATATTGGATCTACACCAAAAGTGACTTTAGTGTGTAAAACAGTCGTCGCTAATTTTGAAATACTATGTTTTTTGGTTTTTATTTTAATATTTCGTAATATGAAATCCAAAACAACTCTATTAATATAAAAATGTTTATTTTCTTGTTGATAACAAAACATTACAATATGACAACAGTACTATTTAAATATTTATCAGAATATAACTAAGGGAAATTTCTCAACAGATAAAAAAATAATGATGTTTGTGATATGCATTAGAGACAAGAGACAAGTGACTCTAGTGCATAATCAGGCCAATTAGAGGATACACATCGGAAATTAAAAAATATTGATAAACATTAATTCATATGTTTAACGATTATGAGGTTATATCTGTACTGTTGAGTGATATCAATATATATATATATGTATTTTTATATATGATACATGTGAAATACTGTTTTCTTATTATAAAATAACTTTTAAAGGAAAAATATAAAGAAAAAAAGTTAACCGATGTCCAAAATGTAAAAGTTAAAAGTAAAAACTCTACACTCTTTAATATTTAAAAGTAGTGGCGATGTGCTTGACAACAAGACAGCGCTGCTTTATGTAGTAATCTATCGACAAGTTACCGACTTGTCGAGTATAACGCAGACAAACTGCCCACTTATCCTGAATAAACACGACAAACAATTAACCTGTCTCTTCAAAACATGGCAAAGTATTCATATATCTTTTCTAACACTGACAAACTACCAAACTACCTTTTCTGGCGACTACAAACTACCAAGTTACCAGGTGTAACACCGACAAACTACCAAGTTACCTCGTGTAACACCGACAAGCTACCAAGTTACCCGGTGTAACACCGACAAACTACCAACTTACCCGGTGTAACACCAACAAACTACCAAGTTACCCAGTGTAACACCGACAAACTACCAAGTTACCTCGTGTAACACCGACAAACAACAAAGTTACCCGGTGTAACACCGACAAACTACCAATTTGACCGGTGTAGCACCGACAAACTACCCAGTGACCCGGTGTAACACCGACAAAAATTATACCCAGTTACCCGCTGTAACACCGAAAAACTTCCCAGTGACCCGGTGTAACACCGACAAACTACCCAGTGACCCGGTGTAACACCGACAAACTACCAAGTTACCCGGTGTAACACCGACAAACTACCAACTTACCCGCTGTAGCAACGACAAATTACCAAGTTACCAGGTGTAACACCGACAAACTACCAAGTTACCCGGTGTAACACCGACAAACTACCAAGTTACCCGGTGTTACACCTACAAACTACCAAGTTACCCGGTGTAACACCGACAAACTACCAAGTTACCCGTGTTACACCTACAAACTACCAAGTTACCTCGTGTAACACCGACAAACTACCAAGTTACCCGGTGTAACACCGACAAACTACCAATTTGCCCGGTGTAGCACCGACAAACTACCAAGTTACCCGGTGTAACACCGACAAAAATTATACCCAGTTACCCGGTGTAACACCGACAAACTACCAAGTTACCCGGTGTAACACCTACAAACTACCAAGTTACCTGCTGTAACACCGACAAACTACCAAGTTACCCGGTGTTACACCTACAAACTACCAAGTTACCTGCTGTAACACCGACAAACTACCAAGTTACCCGGTGTAACACCGACAAACTACCAATTTGCCCGGTGTAGCACCGACAAACTACCAAGATACCCGGTGTTATACCGACAAACTACCCTCTTGCCCGGTGTAACACCCAAATAACCTGTGTGAAAACAACAAAGGCAATACCAACATGTCAAAAGAATTATAATCTGAACTCGAACCCAACACAACTAGGGAGAAATATGTAGAAAAGAAAAAAATACACGGAACCCCACTGATAAAAAATCACAACTTTACGAAGCGCTGAAAAGTAATACACTGTGTACTGTTTACATACTGTTCCCTCGCGTTGTGTAACCATACATAACTCAACGTGGTAATCTAAAACAAGTAAAAACGATAATTTTTATCTGGTATAACATATTTTATATCAAGTTACAATTATATTGATATGTCATGGATTAAAGATGACAACAATGATATGGTTCATTAATAACTATTGATTTCAAACAAAGCAATATCCTTAGATATCAAAAAATAGTACAAGTCCAATAATTTGTAAGGCAGTGCATTTAAACAAGCTTAAAGTCAAATTTCGTCTTTCCGTTTTTCTTCAATGTTACAATCAATTTTTAAACAAATGATAACGAAGAGAAAATCATGTGTGATGTCGTTTGAATAAATCCTTCCTAATCTGTCTGTACTTGCTACTTCTAAAAGCGAACGTCATGGAATTAACAACTGAATTGACTAGCTCCATTTGATAAATCAATCCTTTACAAAAATCCATTTTCACAAACGGTAATTTTGACTGAAATGTGTCACTCAATGCCAAACTGACAATCTTTCCTGGGATGTACAAAAAGACGGTCATAAATGATATAATCAGCAAGGTTACTGTTATTCTGCTTTGGTGTTTAGAAATCCTAGGCCGATTAATGGATGCTGATGCCGATGATGGACAAGCCGGCGAATCCTGGCCCTGAGAATGGCATCGCACTTTATCAGCTGTTGGAGTAATTTCCGTTGTCCCGGCCGAGCTTTTGCTGGAACAATGTGCCTCAGCAGTGTTTGGAAGTCTCAGGGAAACCTTTGAGGTTTCTATTGTGAATTTCTGAATTGGCTGAGTGTGTGTATTCACCTTGTTGGTCTGTTTAGTAGTAACTGCAGATGCTACTTTCCGTTTAGCGTTTACATGTCGCTTTAACGTCACTACAACCGCTACGCTCGAGGTACATATAATACAATTTGGCAGGATTTCGAATGTTACGACATATAACGCATTTGTTAAGGCAGCATAAGAAGGATCCAAAATAACGACGCTGGTAGCAGTGATAGACGTGTCGTTAGCGTTGACAGTCGCAGACAGGTGTAGAATCCTTGGTATTCCTAGTAACAATGTCAGTCCGATACTGCCTGTTATCGCAATAATCAAGCGTCTTTTTGTCCAAATTTGTTTAAAGTTTGAAGAATACCGAACAGCGACAAATCGTTCAAGCGACAAAATAACCAGCAACACTTTAGAAAAGTAAAGTGGTAATGGGTATACATACCAATATGATACTGGTATCATGATAGGGTAAATTTTGTCTATGACGTCCCTATCCAGATACATGATGGCGCGTGTAACTGTTCCAAAAAATGCAAAGATAGCATGCAACAAATCTGATGTTGTCAAGGCGAAGAATGTTACTGTGGTAGTATCAAAGTTTCCCGTTTTTTTCATCATGTACATCAAAACGCTATTCGCTAATATGCTTAAAATTGCTGTTGTAGGTACGAAGCCAAAATATAAAATTATCCAGTAATCAAGAAAACCTGACGCCATTTTGATAGAGAACCTGTCTTCGTGACAATTAATATTTCCAGTTTGTAAATAATGGAATATTTACGTCGAAATCCAAAAGTTTCTATAGTTTTCACAATAAAAACATGTCTGGTCATCAAGCGATGGAAAACTGATTTAATTCTCTACATGTTAAATAAAGACGTCGGTGAAATTTGTACGAACAAATAAGTAATTTTATTGCAAATGAGGCAGAAGGCTAATGACATATTTGCAAAAAAAAAAAAGAAGATAAATACCATTCATACGATTAGCTATATAATCACCACGTTTTCTCCACTGCCAATGTTCCGGGAAAATTCACTGTAGCTTCCATCAGGATCATAATTAGTGACGATGACGGATGTCTTCTATGTAATTAGAGATAATTGCATGCCAGTTATAAATATACCAACACACGCGTTTGCGAGGCACGAATTTCGACAGCCAAGTCAGTGAGCTAGTTAAGTAATATGATATTTCTTTGTCCGATATGAAGTTGATATTATATAAGTATTCATTAATTCAGAATAATCTAGAATATCTTCAGCTGTAAGTAAAATCCCTTGGCTACAGATTTCAGCTATCTGTATTTCTTAATCATCTTTGTTGATAATAAAATATAATCGATATCAATTTCCCTCATAGAAAACATTTCAACTATTTCAATTATACTTATGTGAGAGTAAGTTAAAAGTACTGTATATGAAGATGTTTTCATTTTCTGTATGGGAAGATCTCTATTCAGGATCTATGTGTTTGTTTAGCTCAGTCAGCAGTTGCCCCCAGAACCTTCTTTGGCTTGTTCTATCGGAAGGCCACGTACAGTAATTGACCATGCTGATCAGTGTTCGCATAGGCGCGGAAAGATTGATTCTATCGATATCCTCTATCAGTACAACACTCAGGACCCCGGGACCTTCTCGAACAGCTTTCGTCTGTGTCAAAGCTAGCTGATAATCACAAAGTTCGTTGTTCAGCAACGACTGTGATAGTATGACAATGACATTCTTGCTCAGTTCAAAATGCTTGGTAATGTTTTCAAAGATCAACGCACCAGGTTCGAAATCTCTGGCATGAATGCATAACCTACACTGGGACTTGTTCTCTAGTTCTGGAATAAGTTTCCGCGAAACGAAAGATTGGTCATGATCACTGTATATAACGTATGCATCATATCGGTAATCAGTGTCCTTGGAGAGTCTTTGATATCCTAGTTTGTACACTCCAGTGACATGTAACCAGTATCGAAGATGGAACCTGTATCTGAAACATACAGACACCATCAGCACTATGAATACAAATGTTACCGAAATTCCTATGCATACATTTTGCAGAAGTCTGCCCACATCGGTACACATTTCCTTGGTTGGATTGTAATCCTTCAACAACACATTGTTCAGTTCCGGAGGCGACCTGCAAACGTAACGTTCTGGATAATTGACAATGGTGGTGTGTTTAGTAGATTTCATCCAATCAAGAAACCACATAAGATCACATGTGCACGAGAATGGGTTATTTGTAATACAGATCTTTTCCAGCGAGCCCAGAAAACCTTTCGGGAAAGACGATTGATTTATAAGCTTGATGTTATTTCCATCTAAGTACAAGCTTCGTAGTGACGTAACATTACCGAACACGCTTGGGTCGTCACCCCAACCGTTTATGTAATTACCTATGAGAACCAACTTTTTCAACTTTGGAATGTGCTGAAAAACATCACCAGGAATCGCCTTGAGATAAGTGCTTTGCAATATGAGAATTTGTAATTCCTTCAACGGAGAAAACATGTACCTTAGAGCTTTAGAATTTGAAGGTAGGTGATTATCTGTTAACTCAAGCGAAACGAGTTTCGGACAAAAGGAGAACAATCCTAAATTAGAACCCTTTAGCCTGTCAAATCTGAAATTATTTGAAACAAAAGTAATTGTTCGAAGACTGGAAGAGTTAAAAGCCAAAGTGTCAATTCTTTTAATAGTAATACTGTTCGAATTCATTCTGATACTACGAAGAGAAGGAAGATTGGCAAAGGTGTTGTTTTTCAGTTCTCTAACATATATCTCGTTAAGTACAAGGCTACGTACGTACGGAAGACACGAAAATGATGATTGATCTAAGGAATAGACGGGATTTGATGCGAAGTTTAGGGATTTGTATCGACCCGTTGGAGTTCCAGTAGGTCCACAAAAAGACGGAATTTTAAGCAGATGATTGTACGCTATGTTGAATTCGAGAATACTTGTAGTTTCGAATCCCGTAGTGTTGAATTCCGTCAAGTCGTTTTCAGCTAAATCAAGGTCTTCTAGATGATAAACGTTCGAGAAATATGACGCAGATATAGACTTGATCCCATTTTGTTGCAGTGAAATCTTCTGAATAAGCGAACCAGTAAGTCCAGAAAACATATCCACTGGTATCCAATCCCAGCCGTTCGAATCCAGTCTTATTTCTAGGAGTGTCGGCGTTACGTTCAAGAAAGCAGACACAACTTCGGGCATAAGCCTTTTATTTGACCTGAACGACAAAACTGTTAAATTTGGCAGAACAGTGAATGCATCTGGTTGAACGTTGACGGTGTTGGTATCAATAAAGTGTAATTCTGATATTCTGTTTTGTGATAGATTCGACAACAAATAATCCGTTACCGTGGTGAAATTTGTCTTCATGAAATACACCTTTTCAACATAGCGCGGTAGCTTCGGTATTACTTGAGATTTCCCCACACACTTGGCCATTTTTTCTCGTAATTTACAACGACAAAATGGTTTGGGACAAGGTATGTCTTTCTTGCTGTCACACAAACACAAGCATAGTACCAATGCTAAAGCGACAATCCAAATCCGCCTGTCCGCCATGACTACTGAAGTCTGTAAGATAAGATAGCTAATTCGTATTACATCAAATCATTTACATTTTACTACAAACAAATGTATACGTATCTGCAATGAGGCTAAAGGTTCATTAACCGAAGGAATTGCTATTTAGCTGTTTTTACTAAGTTAGCATCATGCACTGGATCTTACATCGGTTTCAATTTGATATGTGAACTTGATTTGTAAAGACGCTTGCTGCTCCGGAACACCTGGTCCTTAATTTTCGATTGTTTTTCAGGAGTTTTCGTGAAAATCGTTCTTTTGTTCATAGTTTGCCCTAGTTTTATTGAATTTGATTGAGTTTGGATTATCATTATATTAACATAATATAAATGAAACAAAAAAATGTGACGAGTTTCATAAATCACATATCAAATGGAAACGATTTTTTTTATCACTGGAGAGATTTTAAAGCAAACATAGTTGAAAATTAATATTTCTACATCGAACTTGAAGTCATGTTCGGTTTTAATTAAAAATGAAAAAAACTGTGTGTATGTTATGGACAATGTGGGGTTTCATTTTTTTTTCAGGATAATATTTTAGCTTTGTGTTGGATTATTACGTCACAATGCCATAAATTTTCATAGAATGCGTGACGACCATGACAGTGTTGTTGATTGTAAGATCTCCTAGTTGTATCGAATTGGCTATAAATGTACATTTTTTTTAATAAATATGTATATATTAAAATATATATACAACATTTCACATTCATTGAATAATAAAACAATCAACTAATAAAATACAGGTATTAAACGCCGGTGTAAAGCAGAATTATTTAATTATTATTTATCGTTTGAGTGACAAATTCGTAACAATCGTCACGGCTGTATCTGTTCTGGTAACGGTTTCGAGTTGTCAAGTGTTCTGGTCTAAGGGGGATAACTTTGTCAGTGAAGCGAAATGACGTTAATGGGAAGTTGATTCAGCATACCTTATTTTGACTTATAGTTTCTTTTTATTTTTATAAAATCATGAAAAGTGGTTTATTTTGTTTTTAATTATTGACAACACTAATGTTTACGACATAAAGCCGCCCCGTGACCAGCAGACGACAAACGTAAACAAAACCGCTCTAACGCTGTCAGACAACAGGGCAGCGTGACTTGATCAGGACATGTCCACAAGAATTATGTACACACAAATATAGTCAGGTTTTAGTAACTAACAGCAGTTTCTGCATCTCAAACTTTGATGCGAAGAAACTCCGTGTGAAGAGGTTATACAAAGCTAAAAACAATCCTGTTTACTCGGTCTGAGATTCATGACTATTGGTCGAACGTCGGTTACTTAATTCCCATGATCACTGGTTATATACTGTTGATCACGACCATTTGTATACCAATTCAAAATCGAGTCAATATAGTGACTATACAGAAGAAATCACAACTAAATGGACTGGGCATGATGAGGAGAGAGAGATAGATTGGTTCGTTAGCAGGCTTTTCGTCTCCGCGACTTCTCCCGTGTCCGGGTATCGTCTCACCAACGAACGTCAGTGTTTTTGCGACTTGAGGTGCCGACCTGCATCTCCCTCAGTCTGTCGCGGTTATCGTTTGATTATACTAGTTTTAGTAGACCGCCCCATTGCCTAATAATGCCTTATCTTAACTCTAGCGGTTGAAACGTGTAGGTTTCTGATGTTTTAGAGTTGTCTCCCTTCGACCTTTCTGTTTACCGTTTATATTTTTTCCAAGTAGTCGATATTTCTTAGGAATTCGTGGAGTAGTCAATGCAGTAGTCTTTCATTTTCACGTGACATTAAAACCTGGTTGATGGATGTATATTGAATTTTTATTCTTTTGAATTTGACAATGGTATCGTTTCTTTCCTGGTCGAATCTATTGCAATATAGACAAATATGGACTCTTCTGTTTTACAATGTGCACAGTCTTTAACCATTGCACTGATTGTACATTCTCACTCGTCCTCTGAAATGCCTAAAGGCCATAATAGAGGACGTTAATCCCATAATAATAATGATAATTATACATTCTCTGTTGCTTCAGGTTTTTAACTAGGCACAACATGGAGTTAATTACATTACTTCTTTCGTTTTTCTCTAGTCTGTATTAATTGTAATGAAAAAAGACTATCTGTAAGAATTACTGCTCTGTTTGTGGACTTTTTTTTATGTTAATAAGTATTACACTGTATAAACTAACACTGATTGGTCTATATAATACAGCAATGATTTTTTTTACACTGGTATATTTCTCGTCAATCGTTGACAATTCTTTTGCCCTAGTTTCTGCTGGATTTTCCCTTTTTGTTGGCTTTGTTTAAAATTATATTCTAATATCGAGAGTCTAATTTTAGGGCGGAGTTGGATTTGGAAAAAAAATCATCAGTTTATATTTGGTCTAAATCGTGTTCAACGAGAAGTTGATTTGTTATAAAGTTATGTGACGGTTTGGCATGTTGTTGTAGTTTGTTTCTGTATTTAGTGTCGTTGACTTCTGAAACGATTTTATTTGGCGGGAAACCGGGTCCTAGTGTTTGTGTTCTGGCCCTATATTGACATATGAGCTTTTTCCTCCTTAGTTTAAATAACAGTTTGGCGAATTCAGCCAACATGCTTATTGGTGTTGTGTTTTAAAGTGCCTAAAGCTATATCTATTACGTTATGCTGCATTATGTCTAAATTTTAATGCATTATCAGAACCCGAATGATAAACTGAACAGCCATAGTCTATTTTTTTATCTAATGAGTGCTTTATATAGAGTCAATATAGTGACTTTGTTCCTAATTTATTTCCGGAGACGTATATTAATGTATTATGTGCATTTTTGCAGCGTTCTTCTATATTTCTTATGTATGGAATCCATTATAATTTTCGATTTAAGAATAATCCTAAGTTTTGCGTTTCTTTAGAGAGATGAACTGTGGAGTTGGTATGGGGATTGTGTTCATGTTTGACCTCTTGATCCGACAGGCATGTTAACTTGCGTCCTGTTTATACAAAGGTATGTGTCAGGAAGATTTTTTTGTCAAATGTAAATTGTATGACATTTGAGTTCCTTAAATCTCAATAATATTTCCGACTGACTCCCTCAAAATCACGTGCTTTATAAAAGTTCCCGTCTACTAAAAATCACATGACACACTCGTGCATAAATGTAAGCCTACTGTTCCATTATAAATGAATATAAAATCATATAAAATGCTTTATGTAACATGTTGGAGTAAGTTAACATTTCCAGTAGTAAAATCTATACATGTTGATTAAAAAAACAAATAAATAAATAGAAAAAAAATATGATTAATATATTTGCAATGCAGCAATGTACTTTACAGTATAGAGTTTCGATCACACCAACATCAGATTAGGCACTTTATTGACTGTTTTTGTTTGTTATTTTTTAACAACAATAATGTCAAAATCATTTCATATGTAACAAAGATATACACATATAAATATTATAATTGTGTACCTCAATATATTACTGATCAAGTACTGTCAAAATATCTCAAAGTACAGTAATAGTATTTCATCCAAAATTGTTGACTGTATTTGACCGACAATTAAACGATATTGAAATCTGGACTGTACATGTACATTGTACATCAACAAATAATTAAGATAAAGTATAGATACAAGGAAAACAAATCCAAATTAAAAAACATTGGAATTTGCTTATCAGTAATCCAGTTATTTAGCTCTCTCCTCTGCCAAAACAGGTTTATAATCATTTTATTATCAGTAGTTCCCCAACTCTTGATAATTTCAACTCAGTTATCTCACATCACAAAAAATAACCCTGTCAAAATATTGACTCGTCAGTACCCTATCTCTCTCCAGTTAGGGTATCAGGGTCAACCCTGTCATAATATCTATCCGTCAGTACTCCATCTCTCTAGATGGGTTATCACAATCGACATTGTCAAATATTAATTTCTCAGTATATCTTATCTCTCCTCAGATGGGTTATCACAATCAACCTTGTCAAAATATTAATTTCTCAGTATATCTTATCTCTCCTCGGATGGGTTATCACAATCGACCTTGTCAAAATATTAATTTCTCGATATACCCTATCTCTCCTCAGATGGGTTATCACAATCGACTCTCTAATGACATTGATTCGACAGTATCCTTTATCTCTCCAGTTGGGTCACCACAGTCAACCTTGTAGTAGTATCATAAAGTCAGTATTCCACCTCTCCCCAGATGGGTAATTATAACTAACCCCCTAATAATATAAACTCGCCAACATTCCATCTATCCCCATGTGGGTTATTGTATTGACTAACCGCAATTCACTTGTAACCAACACTTAGTCATTGCCCTTTGACCCTCTCTCATGATGATACTCGATTCACATATTTAAGTTGTCAGGATGTCGTACGTTCTCCCAGCGATACGACTTAACCACTGTATGATAAATCAGCCGATAGCAGTCTCCTTAGCTGAGTATTAACATAATTGCGCTCTTTGTATTTATGCGTTCCGTTAAACAGGAACAGAAAAACGAATTATTTCCTTGTAAGTTTATACACGGTGTGTAATCGGTAAACAATAGATAGACCCCGTGCGGAACCCCTGTTAAACAACAATCCCTGTGCGGAACTCCTGTAAAAACAATAGACTCCGTGCGGAACCCCTGATAAACAACAGACCTCGTACGGAACCCCTGATAAACAACAGACCCCGTGCGGAACCCCTGATAAACAACAATCCCTGTGCGGAACTCCTGATAAACAAAAGACCTCGTACGGAACCCCTGATAAACAACAGACCCCGTGCGGAACCCCTGATAAACCTCAGACCCCTTGCGGAACCCCTGATAAACAACAGTCCCCGTGCGGAACCCCTGATAAACAACAGACCCCGTGCGGAATTCCTGATAAACAATAAACCCCGTGCGGAGCCCCTTATAAACAACATACCTCGCGAGGAACCCCTTATAAAGAATATTCTAAAAAGAAAGCCTAAGTTTTAACCTGTGTGAGGTATCTTCTGAGCAACGTGATGGTAGATAACTATTGGCAGTAAACGGACCCCCGCTAAACAGTATGATTAATAGGACGGTAATGGTCATACGGTTTAACCAATAGATAAAATTACGTGTATTGGAATAGAAAGGTAACGCCTATGCTAGTAAGGCAAAAATATAAAAAAAAAAAAAAACCCAAATAACATCACGATTTTTAAACGTTAATATTCGGTCCATCCAATGCGTAGGTGTGCAAAGTGAAGGGTAATACGCCAAATATTAAACAATAATTAAAGTGGGACACTTTGGGTATATATAGTACAATCAGTTAAAGGATTTCACGAAAAGGACTTATAAATCCTAAGTAGTAGTCTATTGTTCGTGGAAACATAGTCACAGAAAAATGGTGACGACATACATCTTAAAACTTGATTAGTTAATTAAAATCGTTCTTAATTATTTCTACTTTCTACCACACTTCTTCTATGTACAGGAACACCTCCCAAACAAACCCACAAGTACACACCCTGCTCGTTCTCACTGTACATGGTTATTTGTTGTCAACTTGGATAGATTGTGACAAATACATAGCAATGGTTGATAATGAGATAAGATAGAATGTTGTGTTGAGAATTCAAACCAAAAATACAGTTGTTATACTGAACGAGACCTACCTGTCCTGGCTCCAGTGAAAATCGACGACGTCACATTTACTGAAGAAGGAAGTAAAACTTTGTTGAATAAATATGTGTATTAGAAAGCAGAGTGTACACCCAGAACATTTAGTTAACAAGGTCTACAGTATAGTAAGCTTGGCTTCCGTGTTTAAAAAAAGACAAACATGAAATCTTTACATAAACTATGCTCTTGCGCATTGTTTTGAATGTGAGTCATGATATCTGAAACGTTGATAATGTATTTTTCATTGCGTCACTTAATACCTCGTTTCGGCATGGAAAATCTCACCCCGGTCCCTGATATAATTGTGAAATTTAACCTACGTGTATAAGTAGATGGTGAAAGATTATCCCTGTTTTTGTCTAGTATCGAAAAGACGAAAGACAATTTACAATTTAAAATCAAGCGAACGATCAGTATATTGGTCATCAATGATTACAGATCAAATAACATATCGATTTCAAACAACATTTGATAATGTAAATATTTATTGATTGATAATTTTATCAATTAACAAGTCGCGGAAGGTGTCAGATTAACTGATTGTTCTTCCTATGAAGCTTGCAATACATTTATTTTGACCGATGTTATTTTGCCTGTTGGTTCCGTTGTTGTTAACATTGTCCTCATTTGGGAACGTGACATTATTTACATGGCTTGACCAAGGTTTACATTGCGTGGTTCGTCGATGAAGCAGAAGAGACTTTGCTCTTCGGGAACACCTGGTCTTATTCTTCTTGTTCTTTTCAGGAGTCTCCGTGTAAATCTTTCATTTGTTCATATTTTGCCCTAATTTTATGGAATTTGAGTTTGAATTAGGAATACGTTGCTATGTTGGTATTCTATTGATTCTTTCAAAGCTTGGTTAGCTTTTTTCGCGTTTATTTGATATCAGAAGGATCCGATCTTGTAGATCTCAAAATCTGCATCGTGTATCTTATACCAAAGCATTAGGTATAAATCTACACTGAATGATGACTACCAACGTGCTGATGAAGTGACTGAAAAACAATAACTATGCCCAATTCATGAGTGAAATTCTTCAGCCATTTCTTATTTAAAATCGCATGGCTACTTGGCTTATTGTTTCGACAATGAGAAACAGTTTTTATTGTCCCCCACTCTACTTTTCAATCTCTTTTATCAATCACTAACTAGAAAGATGAATGTAATGTATGTGCTGACGTACGAAGATCTACAGACTATCAAAAAGCAGTAGTATGTCAACTATTCTCCAAGTGTTATAAAGTTGTTTATAAACTTCTATTCACGTGTCTTATATACACACAAAATTCCAACATCTTTATTTGTATTTTTTATTCCATTTCCAACGACATATACACGTTCCTCACAAGTGATTCCTCCTCTGTTTGAGTTTAGCGGGTTTTTATCCTTTCGGTATAGCATTACCACGGGTCAATATGAAATGTAACAAACCCCGCAAGTCGAGTCTTTTATACGTAAAATGCTATATTGGTCATTTGTTAATGTTTTTGTTAAATTATATAAACAATGTTAGCAATATCTAATTGGGTCTTAATTGACATTATGTTTTACACACTTAACCGTAGGTGTGGATATCATGAACGAGATTCCTGTCATGTCATTCTAACAAGCACCAAACACGCCCAGATTTGTATCGCACAAAGATTATGAAGACCGTTTCACATAACCTTTGTCAGCCCACATTTCTCGAAACACTGTGTTGTGTGGTGTTGTGTGTTAGTGCGACTATCGGTTGTCGACATCTTGCACGCAAATCATTATATTGGGAACAGGTCCTAGAATCTCAAATAAACTATGACATGTACACACTAAGGTTTGGGACGGCTAGAATTTACTGTTTAGAATTGGAACATTCACTAGTAAGAAATTGAAATCATCACGCTTATCATACAGCTTGGTTAGACATCACTCCTATTTTATTTCGTTTCCCTGACGATTTCAATATCCCTACAATGACATTTCCGTTTCTAGATAGCGATGACGCTGCTTCCAAACTGTTGGTGTTAACATGTTGCAGATAATTTCATATTCAAGAAATAATTTCCAATATCATGATTTCCTATCAACAGCTGAGGGATACAGTCACAGAGCAAAGTTTCTGAAGATGCAGGTTGATAAAGATTATGTTCGTCACAATGATTGGACAACAATTTATCTCCGGTGAGCGATACGATGTCAGACTTGTCCTCAACACCTGACGATGTTCTAGAATCGTTTCATGGGTGTTACCCATATTTTGCGAACGTTTTCAATTAATCGATTTTTAGTCAAAATTAGGATTCTGTAAACATGTTTTACATATTTTTTGTCCAATAGTGAATCTGACAGAGTTTTTGCCATAGTTTCGTTTCCCATCTTAAAAAATTATTATGAAACTGTTGGTGTTGGCATTTTCAGAAGTGACGGCGAGCCTTCGATTTTCAATATAATCACATGTTATGTTTTTAATTTAAGTTATTTAGAGTTTTCACAAAACCTCCAGGACACTGGTATCGATTGGAAGCAGAGGTATGTAAGATTTACAATATTTTAGTATCATTAACTATTGTGTAGTCTTCTATTAGCACCTTGTGCTGATTTTATGTACTAGCCACACAAATTTGTTAAATAAGATAATGTGCTTACATGTTCACACATTTATTACGAATTTAAAGAAACTCGTCCCAGTAATCATTGGTAAGAGTACAGTTTCTTCTGGAATCACGATTTCGAATTCATCTACTCATCTGTGAATGTTCACATGACTTGACAATCTCTTCTTTATTTCTTGTCTTACTTTTCTTTTTTCTTTCCGATGGAAAAAAATCTAGCTGATCCCACTTGATAATGATTGGGGGTGTCTATATCAGTAAACTACCTTGCTGGTGTGTGTGTGTGTAGGGGGGGGGGTCTTTTGGAACTTCCTTTTTGTACGGATAAATATCTGTTCACCTGGTATGTAAATGGCTGTCAACTTTTTTTTGTTTTCTTTTTTTGTTTTTTGTTTTTTTGTTTTTTGTTTTTGTTGACGCTTTAATTAATCATTAATAATACCATATATATTTTTTATTTAAAAAAAGACAGATATCAAATTTTATCAATAAATTATTTTTGCTTAAACAAATCTTGATGTTCCCGGTCAAAACCCAAACGTTATACATAAACTGTATTTGTTTTCTAATATGAAACATTACAGTAGCTGCGATGGTGATATCTTATCGACCAATCGAGAAAAAAACATTTTTCCTGATCAATGTATCATCTTAAAGAGCCAGATACACTCCTAGACCGATATTGTTTTATACCAAAAATAATTCATGATTTTCTATTTTTATCAGGTAGCAAAAGTTCTGAGTAACCCTGTAATACCACAATTTTAAAGTAAACCGCTACCAATCCAACGTAATAAATAGTCTTAAAAAAGAGTTCGAAACGACTCCGTGCTAATTCATAATTATGCGGGAAGTCCTGTCCTCTGACGCATGCGCAAAAAACTGTAAATAAATCTGCCGTCTTCCAACATGGCAGAAAGCGTGCGAGGGAAGGCGAAAAGAAGGTTCACACTCTGTATCGCTCTCTGTTTGGCTCTCTCGTGTAGTATCACTCTAAAATCATATTCATAAATATTATTATCATCTAATATTCGCTTTAGATAGATCCAATTAGCGACGTTCTATATGTTCGTTACCTTATCGTAGCCCCCATTTGAGGGCCACTTTGCAATTAATCGTAGTTTTTCTCGTAATCTGCACGTTTTTGTTCATATCTAAGCATTGAAAGATGTGATCAATACATAGGTTAGATGATTTCCATACATAATATATGGAGTATTGATTGCATTTATCGGTAAAATCTCTTTACAAGCGATGTCACATGGACGTACTACTCACCTCTTCCTCCATTTTTGTTTTTGTTCTGACCGGGTCTGAACGTATCACGTGACTTTTCCTCATCAATATTCATATCCTGGTGTTGATTAATGAGTCTGATTCCGGCACCGATATCTCCGGCACCCTTTCAATTTCAAGTTCGAAACTTTATACAAGTCTTTATTTATATATTATCTATTAGTATACAACAACATTTCCAGTCAATAAAATATGAAAAAAATATCTATAACTGAGTAGGTCTGGCTCTTTAAGCGCACGCAGGAGCTAAGCATAAATAGAGCTAACAACCCTGAGCGTGTGTGGTTAAGTTCGACCACAATAAAAGAGCTATTGCGACTATGAGTTTAATTCCAACTTCTGTACATCTATATCAGTTGGTGCGAAATTATAGAACCCGTAATGAAATGTCGGTAATTAATATGCAAAACTGACAATTGCAAGAATATTTGAAAATACTATAATTCAACACAAATTGTAAAAAAAAATATATTATCATGAAAGCAATAAGTTGATAAAAATCCATATGAAAAATAAACAGGTCATACGGCGATATATTTACAAGGTCAGATTATATTTACACTCAAAGTCCATCTAGGACTTGTTCAACACTATCAGATATCCCTACGAGTCGGCTAACGGTTTACACACAGGACGGAAACGGGGAAAACTGTTGACTATATTGGTGTTATACTACAAGACTAAGTACATGATTTGAGATAAGGTAAGTATTTAACACTCTAGTTTTAGTGGTAGTAAGTATCAGATATAGGCAGTGTTGTATAACTATGTCACACACTATCATTGGATGTTACTATAACAGTGTTTACATTGTTCGGGCACTTACCTATATATGTATATATCGTAGGACAATGTTTATATATTCTCCACTGACAAGGTGCAGTCAACGTTTTACTCCAATAACAGTCAGTAACTGATTTCATATAAATTTTACAAAACCACCTTTCTCCAACATGTCAGTCACAAAAAAATCTGTATAACTTCGGTTTAAATAAATAATTCAATTCAGGTTTGTAATTTGATTTTTGGATTACTCGAATAATTAAAAAAATGAATTAATTAAGGCTATCAAGTGTACAATATTAGAAAATTAATATTTAATTCATAGACTCGAGAAGCATGTTTACAAAGTATTTCCACTGTTTCCCTATAGGATAAATCTTCACTATCTAGATTTATGACGTCACAATATTGTATCATTGTATATTAAATACACATGAGATAACACAATTATTATACACTTTCAGATATAAGTACGTTGCTTACTGGAACAGTTACTAGGAGTCCTAACATTCAATGATATCATGACGAGATGTACATCGCGGAGGTTTAGCATAATGTGGGACATAACATTGTAATAATCTTATGTATAATTTATAACAACATGGAAACACCAACCAAAAAACTCTTAGACGATGTAGACGCTTACGGAACATTTCCGGAATATTCAGTTGACGTCAATTCAGCTGGTCAAGTAATTAATCATGACGGCCCCACTTTGCCTAATGTAAATACAGAGGTATGTATGTCATATTTTGTAAAGTTTATATAACTAACTGCCTTACACTTACACAACCGTTGCTTAGTCTCTAGATGTTTCCTTACACAAGCGTCACTTAGTCTCTAGATTTTTTCCTTATACTTACACAAGCGTCGCTTAGTCTCTAGATGTTTCCTTATACTTACACAAGCGTCGCTTAGTCTCTAGATGTTTCCTTACACTTACACAAACGTCGCGTAGTCTCTAGATGTTTCATTACACTTACACAAACGTCGCGTAGTCTCTAGATGTTTCCTTACACTTACACAAACGTCGCGTAGTCTCTAGATGTTTCCTTACACTTACACAAACGTCGCGTAGTCTCTAGATGTTTCCTTACACTTACACAAACGTCGCGTAGTCTCTAGATGTTTCCTTACACTTACGCAAGCGTCGTTTAGTCTCTAGATGTTTCCTTACACTTACACAAACGTCGCAGAATCCTAATTCGCAGAATCCTAATTGAGGCTTACCCAAGATTACACGGTCGTCTCTTTACTTACACCAGTTGTAATGTTGCAATGTTGTAACGCGATGTCTGTGTACATCCCTAATCTTAGAAAGCGTATTATAAATGCGAGGGGACATGCAAGACATCTAAATTTAATGTTACGTGTTTTATGTATATAGAAACAATGCATTAAAACAGGACTTTAATTAATTGCTTTTGGAAATGTTTTGTTGCTATTTGCGTTGTCAATGAACCTGAAGTGGCGCCACCTACGCCCAGGCCCATACAACACGGAGTTTCTCAATTGTGAATATATTACGATGCAAATGCAGAAAAAAATCCTTAAATATTATGCGACAACTGCACTGACTAGAGTGACAAATCTTGAAAAGACATGTTCGATGGTGTATCCATAATGTATATATAGATAACATTAACAAATCGTCGTCTAGGTTTGTTTCGCCCAAATCATAATTCCAGCTTCGATGGCATGTTGGTGCTACAACTTTTTTGTGACAAAGTCCTGTGTATGTTTTTTTCATATATAAAGAGTCATTTTTCTCTACTAACATTATCACCGTTACAATAACTCAATTTTATATTATTTCTTTTTTTTTCTAACAAAAAAGGTTTACCAGTTTTCATTTACTTAAATACCGTGTTTGCATCTAAACACACTACAGTGGTAATTCCTGAGATTTATTTGCACATCCATTTACTTATCGATATGCTATTGTAACTGTGACTATCTCATTCCCATTTGTTAAAGAAATTCTGTCTTCGGGAGCTGTAGTTTCTATATGTTACTTGTCAGCAAAGACATGACTACAGCAACATTATTAATTTTTACAACTTTTCTTTCTACCAGAAGGCTTTGGAGGTTAAAACACATGTTTATAAGAGACGCTGGTATGTCCTTGTACTTTTCTCCCTTGGAGCCGCTGTGCAAGGGGGTTACTGGAACACTTGGGGACCCATAGCGGCATCCACAGAAGAGGCCTTTGGCTGGGACGATGCTGATATAGCCCTGCTCAGCAACTGGGGTCCCATTGCGTATTTAGTATCGGCCGTGCTCTTCGCTTGGATCATCGACGTCAAAGGTGAATTGCGGTCATCACCAGCTTGCACACTAAGATATACCCGAAAATATTTTTATTTATCTATTAGCTTAATAGAAAAAACAATACAATGATCTTTCTGGGACCTATGACAGGCTTATCTTCTAGCTTAGTTTCATATACGCTGTGAGTTTTATGTCATACATCAATGCAAAAGTAATGACTAATAAAATAAACAGTCACTGGCGGGTAGTCTGGAGTTACTCATTTTTATATTTTAGAAATTTGAACAGAAATGCTTGTAAATTGGCGATTCTCCAGGACTTTGTGTTTACATTGTTATTTGTTCGTTATGCAGGCATTCGGCTTTCAATGGTGATAACAATGTTTTTGGTGACAGCTGGAGCTGGCTTCAGGTGCATCACCAGTGAGCCTCCTTATGTAAAATGGTATGTAAAGCTATATCGTCAGTGTAATGATAGGAAAAAATCGATATCTAAAATTACATAGTGGTCATCGTGATTACTATAGTCGGCGATTTGACGTTATAATCTGTGTGACTTTATTGACGGCAATATGGCCGCGCCGCCGTCATCCTTTTATCCGTCGCTTGTAGTCAGTGAAACGTTATAGATGGCAATATGGCCGCTCCGCCGTCATCCTTGTATCCGTCGCTTGTAGTCTGTGTTACGTTATAGACGGCAATATGGCCGCTCCGCCGTCATCGTTTTATCCGTCTCTTGTAGTCAGTGTGACGAAATAGACGGCAATATGGCCGCTCCGCCCTCATCCTTTTATCCGTCGCTTGTAGTCTGTGTTACGTTATAGACGGCAATATGGCTGCGGCGCCGTCATCCTTTAATCCGTCGCTTGTGGTCAGTGTGACGTTATAGATGGCAATATGGCCGCTCCGATGTCATCCTTTTATCCGTCACATGTAGTCTGTGTGACGTTATAAACGGCAATATGGCCGCACCGTCGTCATCGTTTTTTCCGTCGCTGCGAGAAATCGAATGCCTTAAGAAGACATGATTTGCTGCAATAACTAATTGTTATTGATAATCTTGCCACTTATATATTGAAAATAACGTCTATATCCCTTGTCTCCGTATTTATAGTGAATATCGCCTGGTGTTCTATAGTATCAAATTTCCGTAAATCGATCGTATTTGAAAGAACACAATTTTTTTTCCCGTTTAATAGTCGGAGCTAGTTAACAGTCATCTAATATAACATATTTGGTAAGTTACTCCTCAACGGTTTACGGAATCTCCCACCTTCTGTTTTTAACACTTATTTATACGTCCTTTGGTTCCTGTGTTTACTCACCTGTCAATGCATCCCTACCTTTCATTGAATGGCCTTTCTTGAAGTAATACCGAATTCCTTGTCAACAGGTACCATTCATTTTTTTCTTAAATCTGCACAGAATTTAGAATGCCCTGCTATCTATACGGGAGTCACTATTGGTGATGTGAACGATATTTTTAACCAAACGGACAGTAGTTTTTGTTTGATTTTTGAGTTTCAAGTTATGTGTACATGCAATATATATACAGTGTATATTAGTCAACTGCACGTGCTAATTTTGTATACATTTTTAAAATTCATTTTTTTAATATGGACATTCGTAGAAACATTGATTTACTCTCACGTTAAATTAACAGGACAGTACACACTGGGCAGTTGTTAAATGGTTTAGGCGGCCCTGGGATTGCCGCCGGTGTTATCGGCCGCTTGGTTCCCGCCGCACGAAAGAACCACTGCCACAGCCATTGCCCAAGTTCTAAATGGGCTGGGTGTTGGTGCGTCATTTATCATAGGTAAGGCTTGGGCGATCGGTCATTCCACTCCATCACTAGGAAGGTAGTAACATTGGAATGGAGTTAAATCCTTCTGTGTAATGCTGTTGGATACTTTTATAAACTGCATTTAAATTCTGAAATGTTCTGCAAGCTTTTAAAGTACAAATAGAATATCCGTACAAATACAGAATCATGTGCTTTGTGTGCATATATAACATATTTATATTATCGTAGCTTGTGATGTTTTTCTAGGACCATATCTTGTATCAGATAAGCCACAAGACAACTCGTCGATTTCCAATGCCAGGTAAAATACTTATATCCTAGTAGCAGTAAGCTGTACCTATTATTATATCTTTTTGTGTTGGTCTTATAATTACACAAACATTTTAATCAAACATTTCGGATTTAATTAAGTTAATGCAGTAAATATAATTGCATGTTTGCTTCATCCGATATCTTTTCCCAATATTTCAAACCGTTTCTCTTTCTTATTCCAGCTTTCCTACCACCATTGGACCAAATACGACTGACGTCTCTGTCCGCATCGCAAATGAACGGAGTGAAATAATGTTTCTAATGTATATAGGTAATTATAGGTTAAAAGTTATCTATAAATATTCTATCCAAGATATGGTTATCGCCTTAATCTTATTGCGATAGAAACTTTCATGAACAAAACAGCGATGAAAATGCCAACATCTCCAATCTCCAATCACAAATTTGATGGAACTATGTCAAATAAGAGCAAAAGAAAGATCTACAAGGAGATTCATGAGTACAAGGATGATAAGACCAGATGGTTCGGAAGGGTTAGCGTCTCCTGCTTTATCGTCAACGCCTGCCATATACAGGCAACTTGTAAATCATGGTCAATCCAAGTAAGTAATGTCGTGTTCCAAAACGAGAACAAAGTAAAAAAAATAATGGAATCACCAAGCATTCTTCAAAACGTCAAACACGTCCATCTTCATATAGCACAAAGGAAAAGCATTTTAACCTTTTTCTTTCAGTTTGTGATACTGTACCATATTTGGCAGGCTTTGGATTTGTTATAGTTTAGATGTGATGATGTAAATATCGTATTTTGTAGAATTTGGATTCGCAGCGTTAATATTTCTCCTGACACTTGTGTCCTTTCCTGATAAACCAAAATTACCTCCCTGTACTACTGCCTCCATTAAGAGAGTAGAGTTCAAAAAAGGACTGTTTCAGTTGATACGGTAAGTATATAATTCGACCTGTACTTTGTTGTGTCAGTGACATTACTTTGATTTATTTTACAAATTTCAGTTCAAGTATAGTGACAAAATGCTAAAAATGGTAACTAAGATAGGTTGTAAAAATGACCAAAAAAATAGGAAAAGACATTGTTGGCTAATAATTCAGTAGATTTTCAAACTATGACGGTTAAAGCACATCAGGTATCAGATGGACACCGGTATTGCTGGTGAATGGATGTCTCTATGGTAATTCTAAATGTAATAACATACTAGTGACATCACTATACCAAAATGTATAAATACTTCTGTATGTCTAACAGCGGGATAAAGTTTTCTAATCTTTTGACAGGAATTTTAAATTTTGGATGGTGTGCCTGACTTACGGGTTGTCCCTGGGCGTGTTTAACTGTTGGCAGAGTGTACTGGACGTCAATTTAAAACCACACGGTATATCCGAGGTAAGGGTCCCCATGTTTGCTCTCCTACTCAGTTAAGGGTATATGGTAATCACTTTATGCGTCCGTGCGCATGTCCGTGCTTTTGTGCGTCAGTCCGTATTAAGATTGTGCAAAAAATATCTCATGAACGTTTCACCATATTTAGTTCATATTCACATAAAATAACATAATGCCACAAACCTTGATCATATTTTGGTGGTCATCGGTCGAGTATTAAGAGTTAAAGGTCGCCTTTTGAAACAAAACAAAAAAGTTTGCACAAGATATTTCATTACCTGCTAGATAAATTTAGTTTTTTATTCACACAGTGATCTCACGCCTTAAAATTCTATAAATGAATGCATTTTGATGGTCGTCGTTCAAGGTTAAAGGTCAAAGGTCACCTTCAACCACTTTGAAATAAAAAGCTTGTGCACGCGTTTTTATTTACACTATAAGGTCATAACATCACGTGTGCACCTGATAAGTTTCTGGTGACCAAAGGTTAAAGGTTGCCCATGAACAATTGAAATGATCGACAATAACATCACACCATCAAATTAAAGAAGTTAGCGAACGTTTGTCATCGATCAAGGTCAAAGGTCATCCTTAACCTTTTTAAAATAAAACTTTTGTAAGATATTAGTTATGTACATCGACATGCTGTTTTAATGTAAATTGATGGATACAACATAAGTAAAAGAACATTGACTTTATGTAGATCATACATCATCAGAATTACATGCACCGTTAAAAAGTAGGTAGTTTATGGAATCAGGGATTTGAATACAAATAGGTTACAGCAGTATTGTTTTTTATACAAGTATCTGAAACGGCCATTGTGATGAAAGCATAAAATCAATATCTACGTTGTTTTAAGTATCTACAGTTTAACGATAATAGAAACGGAGGGATTTGTAGACACTTGACTCGCTAAATCATTCATTTGAGGTCACCCAAGACTAAGTCTAATCAGACCCCCTTTCGTATGGCGTCTTCCGTCTATAAAACGTTTTACATTTTCGACTTCTGGAAAACTCCTAAAGAGATTTCAATGAATGTTTGCAGAAACCTTCCATGGCCAAGGTAAAACCAATGTTATAAATCATAAGGTTCCCATCCCCAGGGACCAAGGGACGGGAGCAAAAAGGGGTCAAAATACAGTTTATTGACATTTCTGAAATTTTCTCAATACCGAAGTATAGCAGAAATAAATACTTTTCATGGATGGAACAGTCTTAAGATTCTTAACCGAAATTGTAAATTTCATGACCCCAGGGTCTTACATTTCTCCCTGGAGAGGGGGTAAAGTGCACCATAGGAAAATCACATTCCTGGGCATAATTTGTTTATAATTCATTGGAAATAATTCAAATAATTAAAAAGGGTAAAATTGGTGGAAATTTCAAAATTCATCTCTTAACCCAGATATGACAGAAGTATTTAAGTACTCTTCATAGATGGAGGAGTTTATAAAGGAACATTACATTTTTGAGTGCGTGTTTTCATTTTAAACATGAATATAACATGGGATAGCATTTAATGTTAAACACGTTTTACATTTGCATATACAATATATTACATTTATCTTACCTTGATGATAATGTTATTTCTATTCTACATTACCAGGAAACAACAACATTATGATTCAGATGACCGTTAAGGCCCTTGTACCTCTTGTTTATTCCTAAAACATCTTTTTTAAAATTAGTTATCAACCCTATTTTAGTTATACAGTATTACTAAACATGACGTATTTTCTTGTTCCAGAATGAAGCAGGGTGGCTGGGTTTCTATTCTACGTTGGCAGCATCATTTGTGTGTATCATGGTAGCGAGGTGGGTTTACGAAATTTTTCATGATTATTATTTGGTTTCAAAGTGAAATGTGAACTGATAATTTAAGTTGCGCTGGATCACAATTACGTGACAGGGAATATGGGACAACAATGTTCCTGTTCACGGAAACATTTGGTGAAGATACGTCAAGAGACATATCATTGAAACAAAGACCTAGTGACCTAATTTTTTCTTGTGCACACGTTCCCACGGGCAACGTTTTTAAGCTCACGCCTACTTACACACATTAAAAGGGTTTGTCATCAATGATACACTGAAATTATAAGTTGAACTCCATACCAAACAGAAACCACTTCATACAAATTAATCCTTCAGAAAACACTACATACAAAATAATCCTTCAGAAAACACTACATACAAATTAATCCTTCAGAAAACACAACATACAAATTAATCCTTCAGAAAACACAACATACAAATTAATCCTAGACAGAAAACACAACATACAAATTAATCCTTCAGAAAACACAACATACAAATTAATCCTAGACAGAAAACACAACATACAAATTAATCCTTCAGAAAACACTACATACAAAATAATCCTTCAGAAGACACACCATACAAAATAATCCTTCAGAAGACACAACATACAAAATAATCCTTCAGAAGACACACCATACAAAATAATCCTTCAGAAAACACAACATACAAAATAATCCTTCAGAAAACACAACATACAAAATAATCCTTCAGAAGACACACCACAAACAAATAAATCCTTCAGACAGAAAACACAACACTACAACATACAAAAACACAACTACATACAAAATTAATCCTTCAGAAAACACAACATACAAATTAATCCTAAACACAACATACAAAATAATCCTTCAGACAGAAAACACAACATACAAAATAATCCTTCAGAAAACACTACATACAAATTAATCCTTCAGAAAACACACAACATACAAATTAATCCTTCAGAAAACACAACATACAAATTAATCCTAGACAGAAAACACTACATACAAAATAATCCTTCAGAAAACAACATACAAATTAATCCTTCAGAAAACACAACATACAAATTAATCCTTCAGAAAACACTACATACAAAATAATCCTTCAGAAGACACACCATACAAAATAATCCTTCAGAAAACACTACATACAAATTAATCCTTCAGAAAACACTACATACAAAATAATCCTTCAGAAGACACACCATACAAAATAATCCTTCAGAAGACACACCATACAAATTAATCCTTCAGAAAACACTACATACAAAATAATCCTTCAGAAAACACAACATACAAATTAATCCTTCAGAAAACACAACATACAAATTAATCCTAGACAGAAAACACAACATACAAATTAATCCTTCAGAAAACACAACATACAAATTAATCCTAGACAGAAAATAAGAGATTACTTGTCAGTAATCACTACTTGTGCTCGTTTGTCAATGAAGTTTACTACAGATCCGTATCCCTTGTGGAAATTCCTATGAATAGTGTGTTGGCGACGTCTTGCTCGAAAATCGTGAAATTAGGAAGTGTCATTTTGATATCTGATCAATTGCGACATGTAAACACAACAGGCTAGGGATGCAGGGATTCTGCTATCCAGAAATGGACAATTCACAATAGGGAAATTGAAATTAACACGCTTATCATACACCTTGATGGAAAGCTGTCCATTTCGGTTTCGTTGTAGTAAAAGATCGAGATCGGTGACTGATGGAGGAGAGCTATTCTTGTCCTTGATTTTACTTCAGTAAATCTTGCCGCGTATGAAAACAAAAACAAGTCAGCAAACAGAGAGGCGCAGTTAGTTCCGATAGGTATGCCAATAGTCTGTTGGAGGGTCTTACCGCCAAACTCGGAGATGAAACTTTCATAACAAGACAACTAATGCGTTCGTTCATTTTGAATGGGGTAGGGCTTTGTACAGAGTGGAAAAATCAAATGTTCTTATAGAAGAAATGTTTTAGAACAGACTGTTAAAGATTGAGCAAAAGCTATTTGGAGTTCTTCAGAATCCACATACTTTTAATGTCACTTCTTGAGTAAACAGTATCACAATAAGACTTTAACCCAGATTTGATATCTCTTAGAATGGTGGTTAGTAGATTTGACGAAGGCTTGGTTGTATAGCTAGACGAGCCAGAAATAAAACGTTGTTTATATTGATTCTTGTGAAGAGAAAGGATCCAATATCATTAATAGTTAATATTTCGCGTTTTGAAAGATTGTATAATGTATATGTGGCAGGGTGTTATTTCTTTATAATAACAACAGCTGTTTTTGATTCTGTCATCTTTATTAAGTCACTTAAAAAATCGCATGTGACACCCTGTCACAAGTAGAAAAACATGCTACAGGTCCAATCTAAAATACCTACAAACACATATAATAAAATTAACAATGTAAGGGAGAAAACTCCTACAGAAATACATAAAAAAAAACTTAGCTGGCACAATAACATACCTATCAAGGAAACTTGAAGTGTGGATTTAACATCAGGATTGAGGAAAGCAGACCTGTGTTTTGTTTTCATTTTCAATTTCAAGATGCAAATTATTTTACGAATGATAGTCTAGAATGGACTTAACATACCCAGAAACGAATCCAAAGCAGCATGTTCTATTTTTCGCCCTTTCTGCTGCATGCTTTTCAACAGAATCCATAATTATCTTGAAATTCATATTTTTCTTGACGGACGGGTATTCGGGATATTTAGAGCCCTGCATTAAAAGTTCTCGTAGCTTGACAGTTTGAGTAATGCTGAATCACCAGTTTCGATGTTAGACCATAAGTAGAGGTATAAAAAGAAAAATTTGACGGAGAATTAGGTCTGATGTCGTGCACATTCAGTTGCTGCAGCGTTTGTTTGTAGTTGGAGAGTTCGGCCGTGAGCTTGGAGTAACTCGAGGGAATTACAGGGGTGTTTCTTTTGAAAGGTATGGTGGAATGAACTTGCGCCACATCATCGATACGTTTATGTAGTCTCCATGCTAGTTTCAACAGGTCACCAAAAGCTGAATCCACCGAGAGAGGAAGCGAATATAGCGTAGTTCGAACATGATGAATACCGATTGGTTTCTGTAAAGTATCCATTAGATTTTACGTAAGGGTAAATACTCTAGATTTATTGTAATGGCTCTGTCTGTGGCTACTATTACGTCTAATTTGAGGAGTGAATAAAGCCATAACGTTAGTGTTATTGCATCCAGGACTAAACAAATTTCCAAAAGTCCACGCGAGCATTTAAGCCATATTGCGCAGCAGTGCCAAACCCTCTAACGTACCTCAAGTTGTCTACGGTAGGGTGTTCACACGATGAGGTCATATGTACGGTGGTATTTGTTTTCCAAAGTACGGACATTAATCGGCAGTACAAAATGGTCCCGGAGGTTGAAGTAATGATACAAATATCGATTCTCTCCATGGTTCACTGCTGAACGATGACAATCTTATTTTTCAGCGACAAGATATGACATCTCTATAATTATTGTTGGTAGGTTTTCCGACGTTTTTACCAAGCACATGCGTCTGTTCCTGGTAATCCTCTATTCAGGCGGTGCTTTGGCAATGACATGGTTCGCAATTCTCGTCAACGGCTACATACCAAACTCCACAAGTAAGTATACTGTACATGTTTAGAAATGACCGTAAGGTTCAAGTCATTTCGTAAAACAGATTTTATTTATGCATATACAGAAATACACATATAAAAAAATATCATTTTGGTACACTAATGTTATTCGAATGAAATAAGATAAAATCAATTTAATATATGGTCTTCATTGTCTAATAAGACAATTATATTTCCATATTTGAACTTAATTCTAACAGGAATAGACAGACAGTTATAACAATTTTCGAACATCTCGAATCTTATTAACACATGAACGCAAGAATTTTTTTTATATTCCATTTTATGTTCTCCATGAACTACAATACAAGTACATGTATATAGGTAAGTTAGAAAACAAACACAATAGATTATATCAATCTCGAGAACTGGATGCCAGCATTGCAATTCTGTTGTTGCAGCGTCCCTGTATGTATCGATTATCCTTGGGACAATGCTTCTTAACGCAACGCCTCCACTTTACTACGAAACGGCGTGTGAGATTACTTACCCTGTGGCCGAGGGCATTACAAACCTTTGGCTGACTATGATCAACAATGTCGGCGGTCTTCTTTTTCTGTTAGTTCAGATGATCCCCAACATAGGTGAGGTGATATATCATGGATACAAAAAAAACTGGTTTTGTTATTTAATGGATATCTTTAAAAAAAAAAAAAAAACGAGCTACGGTTTTAGTTGTCTTAATGAAAGGTAACTCCATTTACAGCTTACAGCTTTGATGATGCACATTTGTCAAATTACAGTGGCGCATCAACTATATACTGCTTGCTTCGTGCATGTAACTTCTTTGTAATTTTAAGAATTCTTTGTCGATTGGGTGCACAATGCCGAACTTTTGTCATATGAATTGTAATAAATTCAGTTTGTTTCCGTCCAGCGAACCATTAGATGTACCAATCATTTAATTACCTAATGACGTCATAACACATTAACGTTTATCAGAGCAGGTGGTCATTTGATTGTGCTTATATACATATATATTAAAGACAAAAGATGGCCGATATATGTGGTGGTGTTTCAAACGAGATTAATACATTTAAATATACTGGCTTAGTGGTAAAATTGAAACAAAAATAGTAGAGTATACCACAAGATACAATAGAGCGAAAATATGAGAAAAATGCATTCGAATGTGGCCAATTTGCGAGATTCTGTACCCTGATTCCTCTTGTAATTTAAGTTTGAATAACGACTTTTTAGAGTTTCAGGCTATGGCCGGTGATGCATCACTATACATATTAAAGTGTGTTTTTTTAATTAATTCGGGTAGTTGCTCGGTTCAGAATATAACATATATTTGACATTGTTGTAAGATCATCTGCTATATGAAAATTACGAAATTACGTGTAATTTAATTATAGGACTAGGGCACCTCCGCATCTAGATTTTGACTTTTCTTTTGATTTTATTCAGTCACCACCAAGGCATCAAAATTTAGGCCCTTAGCAGTAGTGACGAGTCTTAGAAAGACGAGATGGCTTGGCTGTATGATTCAGTTTAATTCAGTTTGGCTCTACTGTATCTAACTCGAAATTTCTATTAACAACAAAAAAAATGCTGATCGTTTGTGTATCTTTTGTACAACCTTCACAGGTACGAGCTGGGAAAACTGGTGTGTACTTGGGGCGGTAGTGATTTGTATACCTATACTTTGTACCATGGACGAACGCTACAACAGGTTGGAAGTGGACGAAAAAGCAGTCAAAACATAGATCGTCACGTTAACCTTATAAAATTTTCAATCAATGATTTTGTGTTCGATATATAACAGATTAATAAAGTTCTTTTTCATGACCATCCTTAACGATAATTGCACGCATTCTCTAAGATTCTGGGGTCATGTACAGAAATTGCTCTACGAGCTAGCCGCTCAATATAATAATTACCGAACTGTAGTACACGCTGTGGAATAGGATACATGACCTTAGAAATGATTGCTTTCTACTTTGTTGTTAAATACTGGATTTGTAGAGTATTGTAAATCAATAAAATCATCTTATGTCAATGTGATGGTGACGAATGCACAGATGTTATTAGTCTTCAATAGGTTGAATAGATATTGAAGTATCAGACAGTTGAATAATTGGACATGGACACTGAATATACACATCAATGAATATTCTTTGCTTAACGTACGTCTTTGTGTAATGACAGGGAATTTTTAACGTAATGCTGGTTCCTTGATAAATATTCTATGTCCTTGTTAATTAATAACAGACAAAACTGAACAAAGACAACACAGCAGTTTGGCTGTGGAATCAAAATGGGAGACTAACGTGTCGCTGATGTCATGTGGTAATGACTTATCTCTAAAATGGCAGATAACAGACTGGAAGCTGGTGCAGGTCTTCACACAAGGTGTCCACTTTTAGGTCATCTGACCCCAAGCGTCGTGCATCGTCCGTCGTGTGCCGTGCGTCGTCCGTAAATTTTCTTTTAAAACACTACCCCTGATTGAAGCCTTGGCAGATTTCAACCAAATTTAGTCTGATACATCATTGGGGAGTGCAAAATCGTTACTTAAATTCAGAAAGTTGATTCGACGCATAGGGACCTAGGGGTAGGGCCCCAAAAGGGTAGATAGACAAAACTTTGTTTCAAGACGCTACTCTTCCTTATTCCCTGAATAGATTTCATTCAAATTTTGTTTGTATTAAATGTAGAAATCGGTAAAAAAAGTCTTTAATTCGAAAAGTTGATTCGACTCTTAGGGACTTGGTTCGAGGCTCCAAAGGGGGAAATTGGAAAACATTTTGTTCCAACAGAAATATACAGATAAAATAAGTCATACAAAAATACACAAATACATCAGTCATACATAGTTACACCAAAAAATCAGTATATAGACAAAAGTGATATCCTTGTAACACAAAGCTTTAAAGTGGTGCGATATTTTATAGCATCAGGTATACAGTTCAAATAACCTTATTTCCACATTTTTGCATACCATACATATATAAAGATGCAGGGTTAAAACATCACCCTACTTACAGTGTAGTTTTCAGCCTCAATTTAATATCTTTTACCAGGCATTGCCGTTGTCAGGTGAGTAGTAAACATATTTTAAGAGTTATTGAATGTTAAAAGTAGAAGAAAACATATTTAAAGTTTTAGTGAATGTCAGCTGTAATTGAGGGTATATTTAGAGCTTTAACGAATGTTAGCTGTAGAAGAAGACATGTTTAAAGTGTAAATGAATGTCAGCTGTAATGGAAGGCACACTTAAAACTTCAATGAAGGTTAGCTGTAGAAGAAGACATGTTTGAATAGTAAAGGAATGTGGGCTCTAGTGGAGGCATATCTCTCGCGTTAGGGAATGTCAGCTGTAGAGAAAGGCATATTTAAAGTGTAAGTGAATGTTAGTTGTAATGGAGGACATAATTAAAGTTTTAATGAATGTCAGTTGTAATGGAGGGCATATTAAAAGTTTTAATGAATGTTAGCTGTAATGAGGGTGTATTCAAAGTTTTAATGAATGTTAGCTGTAATGAAGGGTGTATTCAAAGTGTAATTGAATGTTAGCTGTAGAGAAAGGTATATTTAAAGTTTTAATGAATGTTAGCTGTAATGGAGGGCATATTTAAAGTCTTAATGATTGTTAGCTGTAATGGAGGGCAGATTTAAAGTGTAAAGGAATATTAGTCAGGCATATCTCAAGTGTTAGTGAATGCCAGCTGTAGGGGCATATTTGAAATGTGAATGCATGTCACCTATATTGGAGGGTTTATTTATAGTGCACGTGAATGTCACCTGTATTGGAGGGTATATTTATAGTGAACGTGAATGTCACCTGTATTGAAGGGTATATTTATAGTGTACGTGCATGTCACCTGTATTGAAGGGTATATTTATAGTGTACGTGCATGTCACCTGTATTGGAGGGTATATTTGAAGTGTTAGTGAATATTAGCTCTAGGGGAGGGGGGCACACAAGTAGTAATATGGTTTATAAATTGGAAGATACAAACTTATCTGTACTTAAAATTTGATTGTAGCCAACGAGAATCTGCTGGTGTCTCAGTATTTGTATATGAAAGGATATAATATATCATCACTCTACCGTACATTTCACCCAACCAACTGCTGATACTTCTATCCTTTCTCAAGGGAGTATTTATCTATTTTCATTATTGTTATTATTATTACTTATTCGTGTTATATGCTAAGTATGTGTTTCCTGGTGAATTTTCACACTTATAATATGACAGTTTTCCTCTTAAAATGTTATCGTTTGTTATAAAAGGATAAATGTAGATTACAAATATTGCTTAAATATGATTTTAAGATACAAAACATCAACGATACAATACAGATAACGACGAATAAGAATATTGGACAGATAATTGGGCACAATAAGAATGAATACAAAAGGAACAAAAACTAGCAAAAATAAATGTGATTTATCATTCAATTAAAGGATTTTGGGGTTTTTTTTTCTTTGAAGTAGACGTGTGTCAAAATAGACTACCATGGAATGTAACAAAAGTAGCGTAGGTAGATGACGTCACGTGCTTATAAGCACAGACAAGAATGATATCATTGGATCATAATTTAATAGGTCAAAAGTCAATAGGTAAGAGTTTATCAGGTCAAGGTTCACTACACAACAGATTTATCCCGTAGACCATCCCGAACAGCTGATTCTATTCTGTGCACCTATCGAGAGTGGTGGGGATCGGTAACAGCATAACTGGGACGTAAACAGGTGACACACAAACTGTACTTCAACAGGATACTCAAATAGTAAGCACAAAAACATGTCTTCTTAGACCAGCTTCATGAGAATTTATTTACTAGACTTTCATGTTAAGGAACGTTAAACTCAGATCTGATCTACTTAAACATTACACGTACTACCTGTTGGTATAAATTCTTCAAATTGTTTATAGCTGTATCTTTATGTATCAACATCCGGTTGAGAAGTCGACATTTCCTATGGTATATTTCCTGTGATGCCTTTAGTGGTAAAGATAGGGGAGGTCATCATGTACATTGTATATTTAACTGGGTTATGTATAAAATTCCCTCGTGATGTCGACACCGTTTACTCTTAACATGTTTACATACTGATTAGTGAAATGAATACGTTTGAATCACTACTTTTCCACGTGAAATGATCGTGGCACAGTAAAACACGCGATCTCAATATGACTCAGCTCACCTTGTAATGATACTAGCGAGGAAGCATTTCTACATACCAAATACCGACATAATATATTCATCTGCAAATAGAACACGGGCAGAGAGAGAAAGTAAAGCAACAGATGCTTGCGTGTTTGAAACAGCTGTTCGTGTCGTGAAATCAACATAAACTGACTGGAATTTATAGAAATGGTTTTGATATACAATATTTCAGGGTTTTATGAATGTTTGGTTTGGGATATTCTACAACGCACAACATAACGTGTTTATTTTGTCAGTGATAAATCTCTGTCTGTCATCCAGGCATGTTTTGTTGAAGGTTAATGAGAATATTGTATCATGCATATTTCCGGCACAGGTAGATGGCGAACCAGTCAGCGGAAGTAATAATCATCGGCGCCGGAGTAGCTGGAATCACAGCAGCCAATACCCTGTTCGCCTCTGGTTACAAGGACGTGAAGATACTGGAAGCAAGGAACAGGTAAGTTTATACCTAGATGATTTCCTGCTGGGTTCATTTCTAGTGTTCATTCGAACAAGATGTGACGAAATGATTGAGCAATATAAAAGACTCGGGCTATCTGTAAAACAAGTTCTCTCATTATTGTCTTTTCACTGACAGGACAAATTTGACATAGTCATCAAACTTCTTTTCCAACCATTTTTTATAGGTCGTCAGGAAGAATTCTTTTAATCTCGTACAGTCAAAAGATAACTATTCATAACCTTGACATTGACAGTAACATAGTCTGTCAATTTCTATTTTTTGCTATATTAGCATATATGTATATTACACTTATATCCTTTGCATCTATAAATACCTGTGTATATCCGATATGTAGGTGTTCAATCTTAGCCTATTTAGTCTTATCTGATAACTTAATTTCAGTGATATATAAAATGTGATAACTTCTTTTTGTTTATAATCTGTGTATAAATTGCTATTGACTTAGATATATATCCTCAGCTGCTTATTGCTAATATTATGTTGCATGTTATTGTGTTTTGTATTATGTTATGTCGAAGTACAAATTCACCAGAGCTTATGTTTACTGTTTGTAATATTCGACGTGAAATAAAGTTTCTTGTATCTTGTAAAAACATGAACAGTCTCCCTTGTGAAATTATCTCATTTAATCCTCTACTTTCCTTTAAATCTCCCCGCTCATCAGTATTCAATATGTTCCTTTTCCTTCCCCAGCGGTACACCCGCAAATGACATGATCTTCACTACGTTGAAATAGGCTATTAACGTGCATGAGTAGAAGTAATTTGTCAGTCTGTTTTATATAAGGATGATGGGCGTGTATAAACCTAACCTAACTTTTATAAATTTTCCACAGGATTGGAGGACGGATTCATACCATTCCGCTAGGGTCAGACGCGTGTTCTGTTGAACTGGGGGCGCAATGGATCCATGGAGGGGCAGAAAACCCAGTTTATCGTATGGCCCTTGAGCATGATTTATTGGGCTCAAGCAGCATTCACGACGAGTAAGTCTAAACACATATTGCATCATAGTGTGACAGTTGTTGATGAATACTTTTATTTCACCTGCCAAGTCAAAAAAAAATCATAGATTTTGGATTGTTTGGTCATGTCGCAGCAATATCAATAGTAATGCATGTGAAATACTGAAATGACGAGTGCAGTACGGAAGTAAGGTGCCGGTGAAACGAAAATAAGAAAATTAGAGATAAAAATCATTAGATGGGACTTATCACTACAGCTTGACCAGACACGAGAATCTTAACTCAGCGTCGCATTCATATAAACAAAGAATATAACCTCATGTGAGTTATTATCATGATAAAGAGAAGTATTGAAACAACATTTGATTGGAACAAATCAAAACAATGTATTAGTATAACAAGGCATCGGTGCTATTTTTAAGAGAGCTGTTCTGAATGAGTGGTCCAACCGGATATTCGGAAATGACTATACGAACTGAAATAACATCACTTCATACATGGGGATATACAACAATATATTCATTTAATTTCTGAAAATATGACAAAGAGATACTCTTATTATTTAAGTTACCACGTATTGCCTCGCCTTCAACACATCGAAATATTTGTTTTTTGGCAGATTTGCAGGAATCTATTGCAAAGAAAACGGGACCAGGGTAGATAAATCACTCCTAGACACCGTGATTGCTATCTTTAAAGAAACCGTCGAAGATATGGTGGATTTCTCATTTTCAGACTCAAAATCAACACTGACATGCGACGAATACCTAACGAGTCGGATGCCGGTCATCTTGTCTCCTATTTCAGATGAACAAAAGAAAGAAGCTGCAAACATATTCCAGTCGTTGTTGAACATTCTAAAGGAGGATTGCGGTGGCGAGCTCACGCGGCTGTCATTGAGTTGTAACGGGTTCGAAGACGACTTCCGAAGCAATGACCATACACTTCCGGCAGGATTTGACACCCTTCTAAGAAAACTGATGTGCAACTTTGAATCGGATGTTATCAAACTTGAAACAGAAGTCAAGATGATTGACTGGTCAGAGAAAGAAAACGCAGTCCATTCTGTTGTGCTGAGATGTGTTGAACGAGGAAAGGAAATGACGTATACTGCAAATCACGTGATTAGCACAATTCCGCTTGGGGTTCTAAAGCAGAATCATCAACAGCTATTCAGTCCGAGTCTCCCTGTCGACAAAAAAAATCTCATTGAAAAGCTTGGCTTTGGTCAGGTTAATAAAATAATTCTTTATTACGACGAACCTTTCTGGACTAAAGGTAACGGTGGAATTAAATTGGTGTGGGATCAGGAAGCCGAATGTGACTTAGGAGATAGGTCATGGGCACGTGGTATATTTGCGTTCAAAGAAATGAAACACATCGACAATGTTTTGATAGCGTGGATATACGGGGACTCAGCAGAACTAATCGAGTCGATAGGTGAGACACGTGTAGCTGACGTATGCACCCAGGTTCTGAAACAGTTCCTAAATGATGATCGGATACCGAAACCCACCAGTGTCCGAACTAGTAAGTGGTGCACCGACCCGCACACCCTTGGAGCATACACCTTCGTCACTTCTGGTTGTCACTATGACGACATCGGTCGTCTATCACATCCTCTTCTGAATACTTTCGGAAAACCAGTCGTGATGTTTGCTGGAGAAGCCACACACGATAACCATTATGCGAGTGTACACGGTGCGATGTTGTCAGGGATTCGTGAGGCGAAACGTTTCGTGAAGTGGAAAACCAACTAGTTTGTTGAAGAATATCACTCAACACTTATTCCTTTGAGAGGTTCCCATATGCCTTACATTGTCAGTTATTCAGTATTCAACAGATGCCTGGTATTGTAGTTATTCAATATTCAACAGATGCCTGGTATTGTCAGTTATTCAGTATTCTACAGATGCCTGGTATTGTCAGTTATTCAATATTCAACAGATGCCTGGTATTGTCAGTTATTCAATATTCAACAGATGCCTGGTATTGTCAGTTATTCAATATTCAACAGATGCCTGGTATTGTCAGTTATTCAATATTCAACAGATGCCTGGTATTGTCAGTTATTCAATATTCAACAGATGCCTGGTATTGTCAGTTATTCAATATTCAACAGATGCCTTGTATTGTCAGTTATTCAGTATTCTACAGATGCCTGGTATTGTCAGTTATTCAGTATTCTACAGGTGCCTGGTATTGTCAGTTATTCAATATTCAACAGATGCCTTGTATTGTCAGTTATTCAGTTTTCTACAAGTACCTTGTATAGTCAGTTACTTAATCTCCTGGAGGTACTTTGTATTGTCAGTTATTCAATCGTTTGGAGGAACCTTGTATTGTCAATGATTCAATCATCCACTTGTTTCTTGTGTTGTGAGTGTTTCAATCATCCACGTGTATCTTGTGTTGTGAGTGCTTCAATCATCCACGTGTTTCTGGTGTTGTGAGTGTTTCAATCATCCCTGTGTGTCTTGTGTTGTGAGTGCTTCAATCATCCACGTGTTTCTTGTGTTGTGAATGATTTAATCATCCACGTGTGTCTTGTGTTGTGAGTGCTTCAGTCACCCCCTGTGTCTTGTGTTGTGAGTGCTTCAATCACCCCTGTGTTTCTTGTGTTGTGAGTGCTTCAATCACCCCCCTGTGTCTTGTGTTGTGAGTGCTTCAATCACCCCCGTGTGTCTTGTGTTGTGAGTGCTTCAATCACCCCCCTGTGTCTTGTGTTGTAAGTACTTCAATCACCCCCCTGTTTCTTGTGTTGTGAATGATTTAATCATCCACGTGTTTCTTGTGTTGTGAGTGCTTCAATCACCCCCGTGTTTCTTGTGTTGTGAGTGCTTCAATCACCCCCCTGTTTCTTGTGTTGTAAGTGCTTCAATCACCCCCGTGTTTCTTGTGTTGTGAGTGCTTCAATCACCCCCCTGTGTCTTGTGTTGTGAGTGCTTCAATCACCCCCGTGTTTCTTGTGTTGTGAGTGCTTCAATCATTCATGTGTTATATATTGACAATGATTCGTTCTTCCTTATATAGTATGTCGTATTGTCTTCGACGCTCCACGGAAATTCAGATGGGGTTGTGTCTAATCATTATGATGAGCAATCTGTATTCATTTTTCAGAGAAATTTATAATTTTGTATCTTATATCAAATTTGCTTTATTTTTGTTATACAAGCTATTATATACGAAATAAAGACATGCAGATCTTATTGTTTTAATGAACGCTATACTCAGTGTAATAACTTATTCTAATTACATTAGGCGTTAAATATAGTGAAAAATATCCTCTTTACACTAATACTACAGTTACTTACCAAAGTTCTCAAATAAAAAAATGTTTAAAGTATTCACTTCGTCCTAAAGTACGGAAATTAATCACATCAGAAAGTTTAAATACGAGCATGAGCACTCAAGTCGTTGCAGTTAACGAACACCAAGCAGGTGGCTGACGGTTTCGCTGGAACTCCGTATCAACCGTAAGATCACTCAAATCTAAGTCAGCAAAGAAACAAAGAACGGAATGAAGAGTTGCTGAACGACGTAAAAGACGAAATATCTTCAACAAAGCTGTTTAAATTTAGAAGACGACAAACGGAGCTACGTTGCTTCAGACGAACGACAAAAAGGGCCTTCCTGCTCCAACAGAAAATCGGTTCGGAATGATGCTATGCCGGAAGTTACACTCGCTACCATTCAGACAGAATTTTATTTATTCTTTGTAACCACTGTAAATAAGGGAATACCCTTACCATCCTTTGAACTAAATTTGTGACCATATCTAAGCATCTGTTTAAATGCCACATGGTCGTCAAATAGGGGGATTCCCATCTTGTGCTGTGATGTCACGTGATATCTAAGTGAAGCCGACGAAGAAGTTTAATGTTCAAGTGATGACACATTAAGACGATATTAAGAAATAATATGTGTAATTCAGACATTTCAAAAGATTATTACATCATTGTAGAGCACTTGTATTAGAACTGTCGTTATTTAGGTATAGAATTCGAAAAAAAAAACATAATAAAAAACATTTCCATGGAGGCTGTGGCTACTCATTATTCGCTCTTTTCTTTGTGTATGGTATAGACGTCGTGCTGTTTACTTATGCTGGATCATCACTACAAAGACACATTCCGTCGTAAATATGACTTTTCAAGGCACAAAAAGAAAATATCAACGTAAACAAAATCGTAATTCAAACTCATAACAAATGAAATAAGAGAGAAAACAAAAACAAAAACAAATCAAAGATTAACACATAAGTAACTATAGGTATATCCAGTACATACTTTAAACGACAAACCCTTGTAAACATGTATAAAGGTATCAATATTTCAGCAGAGGTTTTCTATAGAAAAAGTATCACTGATGCCCTTCTACATGTTCCATATAAGGCACATGACAACCCGGAGTCATTACAGAATATTAGGGTCTATATTGTCTGTTAGCTCTTCTTGTTCATTCGGGCGGTGCTATCCAAGTATTCGTCTTCCGTGCGCAATCATTGAAGAAATAATTGAACTCTTAGCCAGAAGTTTATGACAGCGAAAGAAAATTACGAGCTACTCGTTTACACAAATTTCTTTTTAAGATGAGTTTGAAAGTCGAGGATACTGTAAACGTCAAAGTAGCCACAATGATTCCAAATATCACTTGTCTCCTACAACTTTTGTAGTTCTACCGCGTCTAACCGCCTCGTGGGACTGTCGAGGAACAAGGTCATACACCACAGGACGGAAATTCTAGACGAACATATAAAAAAATACCGTGTTTTTTTCTGTTATAGTTGTAGATGATGTCCCGCTGGCGCTGGAGAAGGGGTGATTGGATATGCTGGAGGAGGAGACATAGGGAGAGTTATGTCCCCTTGTTCGTGCTCTCTATACGAGGGTGGCGGGGAAATGATTCGGGAGAATTCATCTTCCATGAGATCATCATACGCAGGAGGTTTTTCGGGGGATGTGTCTTTTTCCTCGTAAACAGGAGGTTTAGTCGGTTCCACATTCGTCCTTTTGATTATCCGTTCCTGCTTTACTCTGTTTGGCCGAAGTACAACATGATAAATGTTTGTGTTTTGTCGATCCTCCCAAATTCGTGGTCGTGAGATTCTGTCGCCGCTTTGTCTGTAGGATCTTGATTGGTCCTCTGTGCTGTAGTGCTGGATAGGGTGTACGGCGGAGGCATCTCTGTTGGTCACTTTATGCTTTTTAGGACAAAGACAACAACAGCACAAGACTATCAAGATAAGAGCAATTCCTCCTGCGACCCCTGCAAGTGCTGGAGTCAGCATGGAAACTGCTGAGAAAAAAACAAATATATATTCACAACAGTTATGACAAATCGGATTTAGTTATCTCATTGAGCTATATGATTATATATTAATGCTGAACAGAGTTAAAAGATCAAACCGTCTTTTTTCAAATAAGCAATAGTTTTATTTGTGATTATTAATTATTCAAGACCATAATATAACAAAATTACCTCAATTTCCGTTTTTATTACAAAGAATTTTTATGGTACCTTCCGTGTCCGCGCTTTGTCGGTAGCGGAGTTTAAACCCTGTTCTTGTCACTTGTTGGTCAGTGCGGAAACGTAGGTAAGCCTCGTCAGATGTTGTCTGGATGATGGTGGAGTTAACCTGACAAAACCGTCCTAATGACGCACTGCGGGAGTGATCGCCTGTGTACAAAAAGGAGTTTGCACAACACCGATCAAGAAAACCCCCAGATGAAGACGTAGTGAACACGTGACCATCGCAATTAAAATGTAATATTTACGTTTTGTGTTTATATCTTTTAAATATCGTAATTAGTAATCGTACACGCTGCTAATTTAGCATGTCTATTTCTGAATGTTTCAGCATATGTTACTCTCATGCTTGACAAAGTATAAAGCTCTTTCAGGCACCGACAAAAGATCAGAATTAGAGTTGATAAGAAAACGTAGAATTGGTTTGAGGGTTAATGGTTTTTACTTTCTTCTCGTCTAGCTTTGCATACACCTGTTGACTGAAGCCCATATAACATTTAACTTACGCATTAGGTTTTATCAAATTTATGTTTCAAAAACATGTAAATCATATACCTAAATATGGTAAGGATTCTACACTGAAGAAGTGTGTTACTTTAGCAGTAAGGTACACAAGACTCAAAACATCATTTGAACGTGTTGGCAATGCCGTAATTGGTTGAATAAATCCTATCAAACATCCCCTCGTTAAAGTCAAACGGATTTCCATCCCAGTAAATCAAATTATAACTGTAGATATTGATATTTAAAGGCATGTAGTTGCTAAAAGACCATATCTTAAATCGTATTTCAGACGGTGTCTTTACAGGTGCTCAATTGCATGTCTTTTGTATGTAGACATTTTGAATCGTTACGGACGAGTTCATCATTTCAATGAATTTGTTACCTTGTCTAGAATTTCCTTCGTAACCATGACACCGATTGTAAATAAAGATATTTAGAGATGCTGAAATACGTACCGTCCAGTATATCTAGATAGTCTACACAGTTGCCGGACTGGTCCTCAAGGTCCACGTGTTCAAGAGTGATGACGATAACCCTGTCTTCCAACGCCAGGATCCGATAGCACATGTCGATGTTACTTTAGAACAAAACGGTAAAGTGATTCATATGATTTCACGTGTTTGCAGTTTCTGTAAATTATGTCAGAAAAAGGTGTTCGATGTCTTTTTTTTTCTTTCTTTAAAGCCTTTTATCACTAAGTATGTAATTATGACCGATAAAAAAATATCTACAACTCACTTTGCGTAAGAGCCGTATGATGGTGAAAAAATGTATTTATCAACGTCTTCTGCTTCAAGATCCATTGTCGAGCATTTTTGTTTTCTTCTGTGACCAAATCCTATTTTGTGTAGAAATTTAAAAAAATAAATAAATGAGCAACAAAACAAATCAGGAGAAGGTAGTTGTGTATATGTAATAACTCCGGATACAATGGGCTATTGAAAATGTTAATCATGTACGGCTTTTCAGCTACCCACGAGATATTTTACTGTCTGTAGCACTAACAACAAAACATCTCTAAAATACTCTCGCATCAAGTATGTGTAGATTTAAAATATACAAAATCACTATTACTTTCAAAGCTTGGTTCCTCGATCAAATCTTTCCTATCAGAGTTATGCGTGTGATACGTAAAAATGATTTTTCAGAACGTAGTGGAAAAGTGATTTATCTTGTTAATTCTACAGAGAATTAAACAAAATCCTGATAGGTACAACATCGGATAGACGATAATGGAGAAATGAACTTAGCAGTATCTCAGAAAATTATTTCAAGATTTAGGGTCAGAACATATTTTTGAAACAGAAGATGATATACGGAAAGGCGTGTCTAGGTATTATATAAACTTTATTTATTTTACAACAATTGCGAAACAAGTTATGTCAACTTATACTAATCACTCTTGTTGGCCCGGATGTATTTGCATAGCTACACAATTATGTATTTCAAATCTAAACATAAAATCGATTCCACGTTCGATACAAAACAATATCGCAAAAATATATCGATTTTGAAGTTTAAGTATTGTACAAACCACACACAAATGAATAACACCTTTTCATAATTTAGAGAGAGATACAAAAGAGCCAAACAATCAATTAAGGAAAGGTTTTATAAACGTGTCGGTATTTTCTTGACTGTTGTTTTCAATACAACCCCACCTTATACAAGACATATCTACCTTTGTAAAACATTGTAATCATACAAGTCATTTCCGCATTATTTGCGATTCATCAGAATGTTTGAAATTCAGGTTGACAATATCTACCTCTGCTTTGATGGTAAGACGACAGACTATCGGGTTTCCCATGGACACTAACTATGCTACTCTTTTCGCTGACGTGTTTACTTCCATTGAACACTGATTGATCAAAATAGTTTACTAAGACCTTGCCAAGTTCTTAACGTTGTATTGATTATGTGTAAAGTCAAAATATATTGCTTTTGTCCATCAGACCAATCCAACGGAATTAAAAACCATGGCCACAACAGTCTTTCTTCTGCGCCAGCCTTTAAGAGAGACGTGCAAACAAACCTTCTTTAGATAGTGTACCTAACTTATTAGATATTTTATCTCTGTAAGACACACAGACTAACATTCTTTAGACGGAGTGTCTAACTTTGTTAGATATTCTATATATATACGACACACAGACAAACATTCTTTAGACGGTGTGTCTAACTTTGTCAGATATTCTATATATATAAGACACACAGACAAACATTCTTTAGACGGTGTGTCTAACTGTGTTAGACATTCTTTATATATACGACACACAGACAAACATTCTTTAGACGGTGTGTCTAACTTTGTTAGATATTCTATATATATAAGACACACAGACAAACATTCTTTAGACGATGTGCCTAACTGTGTTAGACATTCTTTATATATAAGACACACTGACAAACATTCTTTAGACGATGTGCCTAACTTTGTTAGACATTCTTTATATATAAGACACACTGACAAACATTCTTTAGACAATGTGTCTAACTTTGTTAGACATTCTTTATATATAAGACACACTGACAAACATTCTTTAGACGGTGTGTCTAACTTTGTTGTATGTAATCTACAAGCCATGGACAAAGATAATACATTATTACGTAAACCTACCTGTTTGTACACACTGCAATATTACCAACAGCGTACATCCTGTGGTCACTGACCAAGGTCCCTTCATGATTACTGCTGATAAAATATTCAACATTATTTCATAATAATCAATGTGTAAGATGATTGTTATTAAAGGAAAATATTGATTGAAATTCCATTTACATAATAGGATGTACGATGTCTGAATCGAATATAGCAATGTCTGGATTACTTGTACTTTAAATTTTATATAATTTCTATAGCTCTGTATACCATTGTTGATTAAAGTGTTAAGAAATTAATAATCACATCAACATTGATACCGTCAGTGTCAACGCATCACCATCAACAGTGATATCGTCTGTGTCAACACATCACCATCAACAGTGATATCGTCTGTGTCAACATGTCACCATCAACAGTGATATCGTCTGTGTCAACGCATCACCATCAAAAGTGATATCGTCTGTGTCAACACCATCAACAGTGATATCGTCTGTGTCAACATGTCACCATCAACAGTGATATCGTCTGTGTCAACACATCACCATCAATAGTGATATCGTCTGCGTCAACACGTCACCATCAACAGTGATATCGTCTGTGTCAACACATCACCATCAACAGTGATATCGTCTGTGTCAACCCGTCGCCAACCAACAGTGATATCGTCTGTGTCAACACATCACCATCAACAGTGATATCGTTTGTGTCAACCCGTCGCCAACCAACAGTGATATCGTTTGTGTCAAAACATCACCATTAACAGTGAAATCGTCTCTGTCAACACGTTACCGTCAACAGTGATATCGTCTGTGTCAACACATCACCATCAACAGTGATATCGTCTGTGTCAACATGTCACCATCAACAGTGATATCGTCTGTGTCAACGCATCACCATCAACAGTGATATCGTCTGTGTCAACACCATCAACAGTGATATCGTCTATGTCAACATGTCACCATCAACAGTGATACCGTCTGTGTCAACACATCACCATCAATAGTGATATCGTCTGCGTCAACACGTCACCATCAACAGTGATATCGTCTGTGTCAACACATCACCATCAACAGTGATATCGTCTGTGTCAACCCGTCGCCAACCAACAGTGATATCGTCTGTGTCAACACATCACCGTCAACAGTGATATCGTTTGTGTCAACCCGTCGCCAACCAACAGTGATATCGTTTGTGTCAAAACATCACCATTAACAGTGAAATCGTCTCTGTCAACACGTTACCGTCAACAGTGATATCGTCTCTGTCAACACATCACCATCAACAGTGATATCGTCTGTGTCAACATGTCACCATCAACAGTGATATCGTCTGTGTCAACGCATCACCATCAACAGTGATATCGTCTGTGTCAACACCATCAACAGTGATATCGTCTATGTCAACATGTCACCATCAACAGTGATATCGTCTGTGTCAACACATCACCATCAATAGTGATATCGTCTGCGTCAACACGTCACCATCAACAGTGATATCGTCTGTGTCAACACATCAGCATCAACAGTGATATCGTCTGTGTCAACCCGTCGCCAACCAACAGTGATATCGTCTGTGTCAACACATCACCGTCAACAGTGATATCGTTTGTGTCAACCCGTCGCCAACCAACAGTGATATCGTCTGTGTCAACACATCACCATCAACAGTGATATCGTCTGCGTCAACACGTCACCATCAACAGTGATATCGTCTGTGTCAACACATCACCATCAACAGTGATATCGTCTGTGTCAACCCGTCGCCAACCAACAGTGATATCGTCTGTGTCAACACATCACCGTCAACAGTGATATCGTTTGTGTCAACCCGTCGCCAACCAACAGTGATATCGTCTGTGTCAACACATCACCATCAACAGTGATATCGTCTGTGTCAACACGTCACCATCAACAGTGATATCGTCTGTGTCAACACGTCGCCATCAACAGTGATAACGTCTGTGTCAACACATCACCATCACAGTGATATCGTTTGGACAAGCTGACAGTTCATGCAGTTAGTATTTGTAAATTAAGGCAGCGAATGATGAACTCAATAAGATGCTGGTCTTGTTTAAAGTATTTGCTTGTGAAGACTCCATTTTAAAAATGCACCAAAACAATGGATCACCCTGAACAAAACAATCCCGTAACAATATCCCCCAATAATAAAACAACCTAGCCTGAGTCACACTTTAAACTGAGCACGATCCATGGCTACATGGTGAACAAATACGTATTAATCTGTATATTTGTCATTATATTATTTTCACGAGAAAAACTTCAAGAACGACATACTTACGACTGTGTTTATGTCAGAAAAAGCCCATCAGACGTCACATCACGAAAATTTCTTAAAATAACTACACTCCAACAGGATATCTACCTGTGTCGGTAGAATACCTGTTTGTTATTATATACACGGATCGACTATTCGATTAAAGCCTTCCTCGATTGACCTGACCGGTCAGGTGTAGGACTGCTATGCGTGTCTCTCCCTATACATAAGGACGGATCAATTCGATCAGAACAAACCCAAACAGCGTGTCCTCGATTTATGTATATGTTGACTCACGTGCTCTCTAATCTATAATCATTATCTAAAATTCAATTAAATATGAGGTTTCAAACTGGATGTTGTCCTTTAATACATTCGTTAATGCCGCTGGCTATTTAAAACGTGAATATGTTTCGATTATTCCATACTAAACCTCCAACATCCGGAACACGTTTATACTGGTGTACATGTTTTATTTAAACAGTCGATTATAAAATGAGACAGATAGTTCGTGACAGTGCCCTTAATAATGGAGATACATGTGTATGTAGCACGATATGACAGGGCAGTACAGCAGGGCATCATCATCAGAATAATGCAAATGCATTCTATAGAGTAAACAAGTCACGCGGATTTTGATCAATCTCAATGAGAAATCAAAAGATGGCAATATTTCAACTTCATTTCTCATCAATTAAAGATGTCAAAATACATGTGACTTAATAAAGACTTCAAATCGAGGCAATAGTAATATACGAGTGAGTCCTGCAGCACTAGGCATGTACAGTATATAACAGGGTATAGATAGTTTTCTGTATAATGTACAGTATATAAGAGTGTATAGATAGTTATCTGTATAATGTACAGGTATATAACAGTGTATAGATAGTTATCTGTATAATGTACAGTATATAACAGGTTATAGATAGTTTTCTGTATAATGTACAGTATATAAGAGTGTATAGATAGTTATCTGTATAATGTACAGTATATAACAGGGTATAGATAGTTATCTGTATAATGTACAGTATATAACAGTGTATAGATAGTTTTCTGTATAATGTACAGTGTATAACAAGGTATGGATAGTTATCTGTGTAATGTACAGTATATAACAGGTTATAGATAGTTTTCTGTATAATGTACAGTATATAAGAGTGTATAGATAGTTATCTGTATAATGTACAGTATATAACAGGGTATAGATAGTTATCTGTATAATGTACAGTATATAACAGTGTATAGATAGTTTTCTGTATAATGTACAGTGTATAACAAGGTATGGATAGTTATCTGTGTAATGTACAGTATATAACAGGGTATAGATAGTTATCTGTATAATGTACAGTATATAACAGTTTATAGATAGTTATCTGTATAATGTACAGTATATAACAGTGTATAGATAGTTATCTGTATACTGTACAGTATATAACAGGGTATAGATAGTTATCTGTATAATGTACAGTATATAACAGTGTATAGATAGTTATCTGTATAATGTACAGTATATAACAGGGTATGGATAGTTATCTGTATAATGTACGGTATATAACAGGTTATAGATAGTTATCTGTATAATGTACAGTATATAACAGTGTATAGATAGTTATCTGTATAATGTACAGTATATAAGAGTGCATAGATAGTTATCTGTATAATGTACAGTATATAACGGGGTATACATAGTGTTTTACATTGCACTTAATTTTCAACTTTTTATACTTTTTCATCACCTTAGGTCTGGCCGCTTTGAAGCTGGTTTTCTCGATTTGATACATTTATATATGTGTATTTTGTGTTTTATTTTGCTTTGTAAGCTGAAATATTTCATTCAAAACTTCCCATTCCAACCAGTCAATACATAATCACGGTGTGTATTCCTCTTTAATCCTAAGTTTGTAAATAAAGCCATTTACCTGATTCATGTGGACAGGGGAGAGTCCAATCCAGTCACGAAGGGTTTGTTTGTATTATCAACACTAGTTATCTGTTCAGATTACCTCTCTTGTTAGACGGAATTATGTTTGAATTTTCTTTTGTTTTAATTGTTGTGATTGACATTGCCTGTTTAGTATGTCTGTTGTTTCTGTTAGCTTTATATACAGGTTCCGTGATTTACATAAGAAATTATTTTATTTTTACTAGATTAGATAGGTTCGCTGTTTCGGTCCTTGTTTTCAACAAAATATCTTTTTCTGTCAACATGTATAAAATATGTCAATCTTAAAAGAAGACAGGCAGAAATCATGAAGAATTCATCTCTACATTAATCACACTAGCAGGCGATTCGACCTCAATGCGCGACTTCTTGTAACTATCACAACTGGCTAGCCCATCAGGTGTGGAGCCACTGTATCAGGATACTTGGCATGAGGAAAAACCTCGGTATTCTTCCCTTGATCATTGCTACGACACTGATTTATTTCATTTTCATTTTCAAGTCAGTTTTGCTCACAGCATCATCGTTTTGGTAAATGTGACTTCCCTTCGGCATTAAATGAACTTAGGGTGAACCTAGCGGAAGTCTCTCTTGCAGTACGAAACAGAAGCTCTTTGTAGCTAGCCTGTCTTTCGTCCTACTGTCCAGTGAGTACCGTGATAGTTTTGTGACAAGGAGTTTGTTTGGGGTTACATTGATATGATATTCTTCTATTCTATTCTGAATTTGGAGATGCTTCGATAATTGTGTTTGGAATGTGGGAATCTGGTAACTGAGTAAGGTCAACGAACCAGTTCCTAGATTACTGAATATACGTCTTTAATTCATTCTTACGAAAGTATTGCCATAACAACAAAATTAATCAAATTATCAAGGTTTTTGAAGTAGAATTTTTAAGTAAGGCAAGTTCAATAAGTACAGGAATACTAGTCCATTTGATTTTATGACGGTTGAGAAGCGACTTGTGGTGACGGACGGTAACATAATGTCTTGGTGTGGTGGCAGACGACTGGAAAGTGACTTGGTGGGGTGGCGGATGATTAAAAACTGTCTTGGTGTGGTTACATACTGTTTACTTGGTGTTTGGAAGGGCAATGCTATTTCAGACAGACAGAGAGCAATTCTGAACAAAGGGAGGTAAATCTGGTGTAAATTGCTCAACAGAGATCGGTATTTCTAAAGGCGGTGTAATTAGGGCATGGACGAGAAAAATACTCCAACAGATATACTAGAAAGTATGTTAAAATACGCGCATTTCTTAAATGTTTTCCTGGCGCTGTTTGACTGTCTGGCCATACCTTACGTTAGACAGTACTCATAGAAACTGTTATGATCTCATCAGGATATTAAACCAACCTTTCCACCGGAATTTCCGTGTAAGGCACATTTTCAAAATTTCCGCGTAAAACACCATGTTTAAATAAATTTCCGTGTAAACACGCTTTTAGAAATTTCGGTGCAAAATACCCTTTTTAAAGATATTTCCGTCTAAAACGTACTTTTTAAAATTTCCGTCTAAACCACCCTGTTTTAAAGAAATTTCCGTGTAAAACACTTTTTAAAAGAAATGTCCGTGTAAAACATCCTTTAAAAAGAAATTTCCGTGTTTCGATTCTCTCTCTCCATATCTGTCTGTTTTTATCTTTGATTTAGAATTGTATTTTGGTTACTCGTCCGTGTTATAGTTTTATCTTTGTCGACCGAGTCTTACAAACAAAACATTGAGTTTTTTATCGAAGGTACAACCATATGTACTCAATCACGAAAATCAAACAGCCAATTAACATATTGTAATAAAACTTTGATCTGTCAGAAATCTAATATTTCAGCAGATAAAATATATGAATAATAAAAACAAACTTTGTAACAGCCGAGACGAAGGTAAATTGATATCTGTGATGAGCTGATCTATTTTAAAGATATGCAGTTATTCAATATGTGTTTCGTTTTATATAGATAATATTTACATATATGTACGTATATATATCTAAATAAATGAAGGACAAGTAGAATTTACTGCGGCTTTTGCCTTAAGAACACATGCAAGTATACAACAGATATCAAAAGTTTGTAAAACGTCATACAGGGTATATAACAATGACTTATTTTATTCACAATAAAAAATTACATACAGAGTAATCACGCCGACATGTTTAAGGAATATGATTCAGTGGTATATAAATTGTCCGACACACAGTATGAAGGCTTTCCAAGACTGGATTTATCGTGAACACTGTAGGATGAACTCCTACATGGCATCACAGAAATTAAAATTGACAAGCAATCGTTTGAAGGTACTTAAAAGATTGAGACTTTCCCGAATCAAGATTAAACATTTATCATCACCAAGATTATCACAGACATTGGAGAGGCACTGGGGTCCGGACTGGTCATTTCCCCCCAGATCTAGCCGTGGAGTAGTCCCCATTGTTTTTACGGAGTGACAGTCTCCGTAACACTTTCCCGTTCCGAATCTCATTGACGATGTTGTCCACTATTTTACGATCCTGGGTGAGTCCAAATGGAGAGAGGGTATCTATTGGCAGAAGAAACATGTGTAACTATTTTTGAATTGTTATTTATGATACATTACATGATGTATATATGGCAAAGACAGAAGTAAAAACTTCAGCCGATGTGCTTTGCTGTATTGTACTTACAATTATAAAGATACCGTAAAACGAAAGTTGTTTTTTTATGTACACGTGCGCGTGACTTACTTTTACGGCGTTCCTGGATATCTTCCTTCACTTTCTTCCTCTTCTCGGCGGATTCTGCTTCCTGCTTCTTAGACTGCAGTTCCTGGAATCATATAACAGCATTATTAACGTTAGTGAAATCAAAATTAATACGAATGAATGTATGAACCATTCATACAGCGGTTGGAATACTTGGGTAATTGAAAAAAAACGCGTGTCTTCTCTCTAAAAGTAGATTTTGAAGAATTTTTGAAAATTTTCTATTTTAAGATAAAGGTCTGTGAACATACCTGTTGACAAGCTTTGATCTTTTCACAAAAATCTCGGAATGTATCCAAAAACTCGTCTAATTTGAAGGTGCGTTCGTTCTCGCAGTAATGCTGTGCTAACCGCTTAGATAGTTTGCGGATGCGTTCTATGCCTTCTTCTACGTCTTCTATATCCGCCTCTGCATCCTAAAACACATAGAAATATTATCTTTGTTACACGTTTTATGCTGCAGATTTCTGAAAGGTGATTGAAACTTGTAGTGTGGCAATTACTTTCCAACATTATCTACGGGGAAATACGGACATGTCAACAGAACTTGCTTAAAAACCAGAATCGTTGAACCCATGGCCGGTATTAAGAACAGACTACTTTTCTCAGAGAGAAAAAGACCAGGTGTTCTCGAAGTGAATACATCAACTGTTTCATCGACGACATCCAAAATGTAAATTTTGGTCCATCCAGAAAGTTTTTTACATCTTATTTCAGCTTGAGATACGCTCAAAGTTACATGAATATAACAAGAATAGAGAGAATTTGTGAAGTTGTGACACTATTCTGTCTGATATGTCATCATCTGACCACAGCTTTAGTGTTGTAGTGGAGTTGTGACACTATCCTGTCTGATATGTCATCATCTGACCACAGCTTTAGTGTTGTGGTGAAGTTGTGACACTATCCTGTCTGATATGTCATCATCTGACCACAGCTTTAGTGTTGTGGTGAAGTTGTGACACTATCCTGTCTGATATGTCATCATCTGACCACAGCTTTAGTGTTGTGGTGAAGTTGTGACACTATTCTGTCTGATATGTCATCATCTGACCACAGCTTTAGTGTTGTAGTGGAGTTGTGAGACTATCCTGTCTGATATGTCATCATCTGACCACAGCTTTAGTGTTGTAGTGGAGTTGTGACACTATCCTGTCTGATATGTCATCATCTGACCACAGCTTTAGTGTTCTAGTGAAGTTGTGACACTATCCTGTCTGATACCGCCACCATATGACCACACGTTTAGTGTTCTAGTGAAGTTGTGACACTATCCTGTCTGATATGTCACCATATGACCACAAGCTTAGTGTTCTAGTGAAGTTGTGACACTATCCTGTCTGATATGTCACCATCTGACCACAAGCTTAGTGTTCTAGTGAAATTGTGACACTATCCTGTCTGATACCGCCATCATATGACCACAAGCTTAGTGTTCTAGTGAAGTTGTGACACTATCCTGTCTGATATGTCACCATCTGACCACAAGCTTAGTGTTCTAGTGAAGTTGTGACACTATCCTGTCTGATATGTCACCATATGACCACAGCTTTAGTGTTCTAGTGAAATTGTGACACTATCCTGTCTGATACCGTCATGACGTCGTTAAGATGTCCACTACAACTCATGCTCAAGCATAGATTTTGTACTCAAGTGTTGTATCTTGTTTCAGTTAAAATGGATAAGAAAGACCAATTTTGTCAAAGATTTGAAAATATTTTGTAAGGGTTTCAAGCCAAATTCTATATTCAATGTTTATATTTGACATTTATATCATTGGATATGATTTAGGTGAATTATGAAAAAAGTTATCTTGAATACAAATTCAAGGCTTGAGCATGAGAATAATTTCATGAATACAGACCCTGGTGTTATCGTATCCTGTATTTTGTTTTAAGTCTAGTGACTGTCGTGACATTTTAGGCTTCTGTGTATTTGTATAAATAGAAAATGTCACATGACTTTCCACTTATATGAAATTAATCTGCAACTTTTCACTATACCGAGACTTTGGCGTGGTGAAATGAAAAAAAAATCGATTGGAGTTCTTTTTTTAAATATCGATTGAACGAATATTAGATTATCTTCATCACACAACTTAGAGAGGAAATATTATTCTAAAAAATTATATTCCCAATCTATATCTCTTTCTTTGGTGACGTCACAATGATTATAATGTCATGAATATATGACATAACATTGGAAGCAACGAAAATTTTCAGTTAACAAAATAACGCCCCTAGGTCGTTTAACGCATGTTGATAAAGATATAGAAACGACGAGTGTTATAACACTGATAACAGGACAGTTAGTAAAACTATTGTCATGGCAAAATACATGTCAGTATCGGCATCACCAAGAGCTACTCATTAAAGTAAATATACGGGGATAGTACAAAATATTAGGAGATATTGTCTGACTGAAATCAGGATCTGAATGAGAGTTTGAACGATTGACGAAAGATAGTGTTGTTATGTACCTCAAGGAATTCGGAGAACTGTGACTTTACATCATCTTCAACATGGTCCATCTGTTTCTGTAAGTCTTGTACACTCTTCTTCAGCTGTGAGAACTCGTTTACTGTACTCTCTAGTGTAAACCTGTCATTGTGTACAGAAGCATCAGTGTTAATATGTTATGTAAACAAAAAAATCTGACGGATAAACAAAATGTATCAAACTAGGCCAATCAATGGAATACTGCATATCCAGAAACACTTCCCTTCACCGTCGAACTTTGTTACCTCGAACTCAGAAAACTTTAATACCTTGTTTAACTCGAAGCACTTTGATCCAAACTTACGAACTCGGTTTATTCGAATACTCGGATAATTCGAAATTTTCTCATGATCCCTTCGAGTTAACAAAGTTCGACTGTACTTATTTTATAGGCTGAAATTACTTACTTTACAATATTTAGGAATAATATCAAAGTGAAGAAGGTATTAACAGAACAATAAGTTAGTAAATGCTCTGTAACGGTACTAGTATGACCATATAAATGTACATGTACATTTGATACACCGTAAAAGGTAGCAAGGGACCATATCAATACATTAGATTATATCATGACAGTAGTAAGATTGCACAATGGACACAAATGTGAATGGCACATTTTCATACAAATTTAGACAGATACAGTAGAGTCAAACAATGATTTAAACTGCATCATATAGCTGTTTCTCCTTCTAAGACTTGGCAGTTACAGAAAATATTCGATATTTGGTGTGCCAAAACAAATGAATCTGTTGGTTGAGTCTAGGCAAAAGCTCGCGCCAAAATCAATTGCTTAACAACTGTACACCGTTTAAATCACACGAGATGGTACATGTATTCTGACAAGAAAGCTTACCTCGCTGCCTTCTGTAAAACGTCCAGTAGATCGTCGACGAAAGCAAGTGCGTGTTCATCCTTGGCTTCCATCTCCTCCACCACTAGGTGGAGCAGTGTTACTCGCCCCATGTTAGACTTCGTGGAAGCGACCTTATTGAGGGAACTGATTCTGAACCCGAGCGCATTTCCAGAACCACTCCCCTTTAACATAGAAATGTGAATCAGTCAGTCATTTTATTTTTTCAATTTACATGCCAGCAAAATGTTGAACATTAATTTGGATCGATCGATAAAGGGACCTGACATACATATTTCGAAGAATTGTTGTCGTTGAAACTAAATTTAGAAGTTTGTATATACATGGCTATCCAAAACTAGTAAGTATACAACTCAAAAGTACTGTAAATTATCATCACAAAAATTCTGAAAAATGCAAAAAGTTTATTCGAAGTCACATACTTTGTTTATAAAGTTTCCGGCGTGCAGGACGTATCGGAGCACTGTTTTAAGAGACGCATTGTCGAACAGTCGTCTACAGGCTGTATTCAGTGTGGTGACGTTCGGACGAATGGATCCTAACTGGGCGTTAAAGTCTCCCTTCAGTATCATCCCTTCTACTCGTACCTTGTAGGATGCCAGCTTGATAAGATGGGAAAAGAACTTTTCTGCTTCACCAAGACGTTTGTAATCTCCGTCAAAATTTTGAAGCATCTCAACCTGAAAGATACGATTTTAATCAGATAAATTAAGGAACTCATCTTGATTTTTACTTGATGTGGCATGTGTAAGAGATAATTTGGTTTAATTCATTTATTCACACACACACACACACACACACACATACCCGTGCGACAAACATGAAGAGGTACATACATTTACACTTACATAGCGAGGTCATTACTTTCCGTTACTTAAATCACCCACTGTGCCACACGGCATCGAAGGCTATGCTTTGTGATTGGTAAAAATCATTTCAATACGATAAAAAGAGAATCCAGTACGTCATAAAAGTCATCAACACTACGCACTGTTATAGAGGTATTTACAACAGTCTACAATACTACAGAGGTATTGGTAGATATAGAATATATTAACACTCCGTAACAAAACTCATCTATCTCGCCGAGGTAGGGATAAAAATATAGCTCATAATTGCAAATTATAGTTAAAGTCGCCAGGTTCTATTAATGAAAAATAATGGTAAAAACCAACACAATATTTAAACTAGACTTATTGATGGAATTTGATCCATAAAAGGGTTCCCACACAACCTTGAAAACTTGAAAAAGCCAGGAAAATAGAAAACAAATTTCCTGGTTGGGAAAACTTTGTGAAATATCATAAAAAAAAAGAAGAAAAAAGCCTGAATTTCATAATTTATAGTTTTGATTATTTGATTCAGTTGATGAAAATTATTTGCACCAACAATAATCAAACAAAGGATATACTAGCCTGGTGTAAAAGAGCCAACATGACTCATTTGGATTAACCAAATATAAGTAATACATGTATTTATTTGTTGAATCTGACTACAACATAGTACATCTTTGCAGAACAGTAAGAAGCTGCATGCAATGTTATATATTCCAAAACCTTGGATTGTAGATTACCTTGAATTTCTCTTTATGACCTTGGAAAAGCCTTGAAAAGGCCTTGAATTCTGACATCAAATAAGTGAGGGAACCCTGCCATAACTATAAAGATACAATGGCCGTTATTTTGCAAAATTCAATGTGTTACCTTTTTTTTTTTAAATATATGAAAGCTTTCTGCTATATATAGTATATGGAGTACTGAGGTAATCAAAGATATCTAGGACTTTTAATTAATATCAAGATCTGATAACACATTTGACAGACTTGAATGTATATTACCGAGGTATTAACACTTGACAGACTTGAGTGTATATTACCGAGGTATTAACACTTGACAGACATGAGTGTATATTACCGAGGTATTAACACTTTTGACAGACTTGAGTGTATATTACCGAGGTATTAACACTTGACAGACTTGAGTGTATATTACCGAGGTATTAACACTTTTGACAGACATGAGTGTATATTACCGAGGTATTAACACTTGACAGACTTGAATGTATATTACCGAGGTATTAACACTTTTGACAGACACGAGCGTACATTCCCGAGGTATTAACACTTTTGACAGACACGAGCGTATATTACCGAGGTATTAACACTTTTGACAGACATGAGTGTATATTACCGAGGTATTAACACTTGACAGACATAAGTGTATATTACCGAGGTATTAACACTTTTGACAGACATGAGTGTATATTACCGAGGTATTAACACTTTTGACAGACATGAGTGTATATTACCGAGGTATTAACACTTTTGACAGACACGAGCGTATATTACCGAGGTACAGTATTAACACTTTTGACAGACATGAGTGTATATTACCGAGGTATTAACACTTTTGACAAACGTGAGTGTATATTCCCGAGGTATTTACACTTTTGACAAACGTGAGTGTATATTCCCGAGGTACAGTATTAACACTTTTGACAGACATAAGTGTATATTACCGAGGTATTTACATTTTTGACAGACATGAGTGTATATTCCCGAGGTATTTACACTTTTGACAGACATGAGTGTATATTACCGAGGTATTAACACTTTTGACAGACATGAGTGTATATTCCCGAGGTATTTTCACTTTTGACAGACTTGAGTGTATATTTCAAATTTCGTACAGACCCCTTATATAAACATCAACACTTTGTCAGGACCGTCTCAGCATTTCTGACAAGTCCGAGCAGAATCCCACCGGTGGAACTCTAGAAGAGCAATCAGGTCAGATGACATTAAAAAAAGCATGCAGACACAAACCTATGCCGACAGCAATATATTCACACTTGGTCATCTATTATTTCATTACTTCAAATTACTGTGTAATGAACCAAATCATGAGATTAAATGTGTTTTTGTGAAATCATGTTTGACCCTTAATCACTTTTTCCAGGAAACAAGAGGTGACTGGAACACCAGGAATATATTACAATTTTACCAATCAAAATTAATTGACTGCAACCAGAAGTTCCAAATGTGACTCAGTAATAAGAATAGACCCCATATAAAATTACTGTCAATATGAAAAAGAAAATTAAGAAGACATGATGTAAAGTTTTTATTGATAAAAACAAAAAAATCATGACAATAATGAAGTTTGGAACCTGCAAAGCAACTAAACCAAATCATGGTGTGTATGTAAAAATACAGGAAACAGTTTAGGAATATTCACCACCATTAAATTAGTAGTTCTGCACACACATTTACTCATCTTTACATAACAGCATTGGAACAAACCAAGTACAGAATAATAAAACAGGAAATATGATAATAATTATATGTTATTGCAATATTCATGAAAAACCTTTCATGCAAAAAGTGTGATTTGTGTTGCTATTTATTCTGTTTAAAATGACCCAATTACCATGGATCCATTTCAGGATTGTTTTACAAAAATATTGAAAATTAGAAGCGGATGTAAACTATCGAGTAATTTTTATTTATGTTTAACAACTACAAGTTATATTCATAGAGAAAAACACAACTACAAAATTGAGAAAACATTATGAGTAAGACAACAGAAAAAAAACAGAATTTGACCATAAGGTCACAAACATTGCAATTTCTTGACTCACTTGAGTTAACATTTATTTTCAGATAGAAAAAAATAAAATAAAAAGAGATACATGAACATAGATAAAATTGTCTGTAAAACATTGCATCATTCTTAATAAGGAGGCTCCCAGAATTTTTCAATAAAATTCCTAAACATAAGATAGTAAAATGCCATGTTGTGCTAGAAAGTTTTGATCTAACGCTTGGCCACTTGGAGAGCAATCTTTATTTTATCATATAGCTATTTTGAATATATTCATGTAATATTCTGTATCTGATTCAGTTGCAAAACCACATATAAAGTAGCAATTGAAGAGAAACAGAATTTTCTGCATAACAAAATTATGGTAAAAAATTATACCTAATATGGGCACCTCCTTTGGCAAGTTACCCACACCAAATGCCATTATCAAGAATTATACAGTTATTTCTGAAAAATATCAGACTTTATTGCCAACCTGATTTACTGTATATAATCATACAAAATAAAACTAGAAAACTGATGTACTTCATCAAAAAAAGGCCCCCAGCCAATTGCAACTCTAAATTCAGAAATACAGGTGTGTAAATTGACCAATTAGAAAGAGGCTTCCATTTTTGCTAACATGGCAACCAAACTGTTATGACTATGTTAGACATAAGTCATAAGTTCTACAAAGCAAATTTGATCTACATAAAAAATAAGTAGATTTTGACCAACTAGAAGCCTTCATTAAACTAATTGAATTACAATTTAAATCCATTGCCCTATGAATCACTCTTATCACTTTTAAGTGTAATCAGAATTGGTTTACTAGAACAGTAATTATATTCCAAAATGTTCCACATTGGAAGTGAGGCCCTGGTGACCATTTTGGATTACCAAGAAAAAATTAAACGATTACTGCACATCTACAAACCATAGGCTATTACCATGTGCACTTTTAAATAATCTATGCAAACCAAATATAAATGGACAGACAGACAAGGTAGTTCCGATAGGGCTCATGTATCATAGATGCGGAAACTACATACTTCATAAGGGCTATTACAAAACATCAACCCTGGGGAAGGACCCTTGAATTAATTGCTTCTATAATAACCTCTTTCTCTCATTACATCATCAATGTAAACTTGTATCACCTTGTTTGCTCACCCCTCCCCTCACTCAGGTGTTTAATTCGAATCAACTTCTATACTTTATTCAGATGCAATACCTTTGCAATAGGCTAAAGAAAAATGTACTTGTTTCTCAGGTCCTCTTTCATCCAATAAAAGTGTTATTAAAAAAGATATTGCCACCTAGGGCATTTACCAATCTTCATACTGTAGAAGCTACAAGTATGTGTAGAAGAATCAAACAGGAAAAGAATCTTTGGCGAAAATGCTGATGAACATACTGATGGACGCAATGATAACAAGAATTATAACACTTACCAAAGTACAAAAAAAATAAAATCATTTCAATGAAATGACTAAAATGTGATTACATACTTTGATAGTTGTTCAAAACTTCTAAACTTTTGTGGGCCCACATAGCGACCTACCTTTCCTGTTGTTTCAACATTTTTTTGGTTTTGATTTTTTTGCTTGTTATCCAATTATGAATGGTGTTTTTTATTTTCTTCCATTCCAACCCCTTAAGGCAGCTATGTGCTGCAATAGCTTCTTCACATTCTTTCCTTTTGAGTTCCTTGCGAAGGTGGACATTTCCATGAAAAATCAGCTTTAGGCACTGCTGTTGAGTCACGTTTAGCTTCACTTGGCCTGAAAATGACAAGTACAAATTCAAGATGTCATAGACACTATGTCATAGGTAACTTCACTTGAACTAAAACAATTTTAGACAAGACTTAAGGGTAAATTATTAGTCACTTTAATATCGCTTTGTTCTTGACATCCCCCCCCCCCAAAAAAAAAATTAAATTCTGGAAGACATAAATCCCCTGATGCCATGTTTACACTGAATGTGGACAGGATGCATTATTTCATGATTTTGTTCTAAATATAGCAACAGTAACCTGTAGCCTTAGCTTGACCTTGGGACCATGAATTATAACAATATTTTAAAAATGTTCATACTTGACCTTCCCATAAAGTTTTATCAAATTCTGTCGAAGAATTTACTTTTAGAAGTGTTTACATGTAGTTTGAAACAACAGAATTAGTTATCACTTTCTTTATATATAGTAACAGTGACCTTGACTTTAAAACCCTGAATCACCACAGAATCTTAAGTATGTATACTCATATATGACCTTTGTATAAATGTATAAAGTTTGATCAAATGTTAAAGAATGAAGCATGAAATGGACATACAGGAATAAGTTTACAAAATTGCTTATACTAGTATTATTTTGACTTCATATAAGAGGTTTAATGCTTTAATAAAAAATGATATAATTGATTACATCAAAATTAACTGTTTGGGGAATTGCAAATAAAACAACACAGACATTATTATGATGTCACAATGTTTTTGTTTTTTAATTTTTGTTTGACAAATGGCTATCAAATCATATTATGGAGTTTTAGAAAACTTCTATTGGGTCGAATACAGTATGCTATAATGGTAATGAAATAGTATGACATGCCTTGCTCATAGCAAGCTAGAGATCTCTAGATTGGTGGCCTTTGTCAAGCTGGAGATTTTATTTATGATATTGCTTAAATCTCACAAACAATATTCATATGAGATCTGCAATGATTTGAGGTACATTTTAGCTAAATTTTTATTATGAAAATGTGTTGACACTTTCTTTGTTTTGACAGTCAATCTAATAAGGTGGCTGTGATTTCATTTTTGGAAACAGATGACTTACCCATGTTTCAGTTTTTGATGAAAAGGGTGGTTGATTTGGTAATTTTAAAAAGACAAAATAACCATGACAGAGGAACACTTAAGACATAAAAAAAGTTGTTTACAAACATATTTAGGAATTATACAATCAACAATTATTTAAAACTTTATATCCAGTATTTACTATGTAACAGGCCTTAAATCTTTTTCGATAGTGTATTTTCATAAACAAAAAGACCATAAAAAAGGAGGGAAGCTAATAGAACACGAATACAGCAAAGACTCCATCTGTTTCTACTCCATATACAGTACCTTTTCTATTGGAATGACATGGTCTCGCTACTCTAACAGTGTGGTTCTGCTGGGGATTGGGATTAGGTGTCACTGGAATATATAACAATAGAGCAATTTCTATATATTGCTACACATACACAAATGTTGTTCTTTTTATTACAAAGAATGTCTATAAATCACTGCAGATTTATCAGGGATGCGGTAATTAAAAATGTAATGTGTAAATGAATATTTTTGAAATGAAGTGTCTGGGAAAACATTTGTATGCAATCGTGTTCTTGGTAGTTATAAACTCAGAAACTTGTTTTACTGAAATTGTTACCCCCTAGCAACAGGAAGGTCAGTATTTAAATTAGAGATGTTGTACCTCCATAATGGATAAAAGTTACAAGCTAATTGCAATGAGACTGCATGGAGTACTGTGGATACAGTATGTAACCATTAAGGCATAAGGTGCAAATGTTAATATCAGCACTGTTGCTCATATTTCAAAAACATTTCATCAATAATATGAATTCAAAAGCAATGTATTTGAGTTCCATTTCACATGCATGGAGAAGATATTTTATTGACGAAAGTTCTAACTATGTAAGAGGCGATACTATTAAAATGCTTCACTAACATTCACAGTACTCCCTCCCCAGGGGGCAACAAGGGACATACCAGGACCGAAACTCACAATTCTGATAAAGCACTATATATCTTTAAATCTACTAATTGGAGTTTTTAGTACTAGCAATTCTGGAACTACTAAAGGATTTTTGAAGAAATTAAGAGCTTGTGGTCATTGAAAAACAGCCTCTTTGGAAGGAGTTCCAATTATGTGAAATGTCTAATGTATGCAACCACTATGGACGAAGCATGAAGGCAGCAGGACATCAGATAACTGACCTAATAATAGTTGACAAATGTATTCAACAAAAAATACTACGAAATCACTATTTATATAATTTCCACAAACTCCTTACCATCAGGCGAAACGTTTTCCATGTCATCATTACTAGGTTCAGACTGATCATTTTCGTTATCAATTGGAAGTTCATCACCACCTTCAGGTTGATCATCAAGCTCCAAGTCTATAATATAGATTAAGCTAACACATATAAAGACAATGATGAGAGTTACATGGTTAAACAATTATATTCCAAATCCTACAACCCTTTACAATAAGAAAGATCAATTCATGCAAGAAAAATTATCTGAGGAACATTGCCAATTATTGACAATTAAGTCTTTTAATTAGGATATGTAGATGAGTTTGCCTTTCTCTCCCATACATGTATACCAAAGGTAAATATATTTAGTGACAATTTTATAGGTACATGACTACGTGTATAAAACACTAGAAATATGCTGGCCCTACTTCATCTGGTGGATTACCAAAAAACTTTAACCTCTCATGTACAAAAATATATGTTTTTACCCCAAAAATTCAAAGATAATTCTGCAGGCTCTATCTCTGCGAGCTAAAAAGTGTGCAAAAACTAGAAAGGTATTGATGAGAAACAGATTCCCAATTCAAATGACATTTCATGGACACAGAAGTAAGTGTCATTATGTGAATACAACAAAAAAAACACCGAAATGATTGTTGTTTCAGATTACTAGACTTGCACTTCTGGTTTTGAAAACGCCCATCTCATTTAACTGATCGTCTGGAATGGGTTGCCTTTTCGATTAGACATTGATTATAATCAATCATCAACACAAGTTTCAGTCCTGCAGAGTTGTAATAAATCAATATAATTATGTACATACCCTCATCAACTGGAATTTCTTCGATTGATTTCCCACTGTACCTGGCCACATCTCCACTGTCAAATGCTGTTAGTAACCTTCCCATTCTTGCAACCTGCAAAGTTTCCTGTGGTAACCTGTAGAATGACCTATGGATTTCAATGTCATGCCCCATAAATCCAGCAATATTTTCCAAGTCATTTTTTGTTAGGTTCAAAACCTGACTTACTGTTGCAACATGCTTTCGAAGCTGGGTGCTAGTAAGGTTTTCAGGTACCGACAGTTTGGCTTCCCTACCAAAACGTCTCAGGCTGTCTGCACTTCTGATTGGATTCAGCGAGTCAAATGAAGACCTTGGGAAAACATACTTGTTATCCGGATGAACACCAGCTGCATCTCTGTATTTCATAAGACACTCTATGCTTTTCTGTAGGGTAGCAGTTAACAAAACTGGGACAATACGTCCCCTTTTTCCACGGATTTCTACTCTTTCGAAGGTAGAACAAAGGACTTTTTCCATTGGACTTAATGATTCTTCAATGTCTTTTAGACAACTCCCTGATTTCTGTCTTTCGCGGTAATCTTTCATGGTGATCCTTTCTGCCTCACCCCCTCTTCTCCTGTTGAATAAAACAAGACGGGCCAAAGTTACTTGGTTCAAAGTATTCCAGGTGTCTTTGGAGAAGCTGATTTTCAGGTTTTCTGTCAGGTCACTAGTTTTTTCTTTCAGGTAATCCTGAACTTTTTTGATGTCCTCTGTCAATGGCAAAAGCTGTCCTTTATTCATCTTTGCTGTGCTCAGGGTCTGAAGGGCCATACCTGACACAGAATCTGTCCATTCCATTTCACACAACGACAGAAAAGCATCAGATTTGGATCCCAATGATGTGTCTTCTGTCATCAAAGCATTCGCTTTCTGGATCATAGCACATTTTTTTAAGAGATGTCCAATCTTTAAAGCAAGCGATGGATTGGCGTATTTGTTGTCATCACAACTGTAGCCACAAAGGTTTTTAGTTGATCTCACAACAGTAGCAAACTTTTCTGGCAAAAGAACATCAGCAAGAGAGTTTATTGCTGGATCCTCTTTCCGTGCACTGATTAAGAACCGACCCAACTCCCTCATTTTCTGACTTACATACACAAACAGATGAGGCAGGTGTCCATGCTTTTGGAAAAGTTTCTCCCCTAGCCGAATTATGGTGGCATCATTGCGGACAACTTGTGTAATTTCATCAGCTTTCATACGGCCAATGACCTCTTTCTGCATGGCTTCACACACATCTGCAGCAGCAGGTAGCAAAAGGTTAGCTTCTGACCTCAGTCTTGGTATGTGTGTGGCATCCTTTCGAAGTGGACACACTTTTCTATGTCTCCATAGGTTTGATTTAAGAAAAAAACCAAGACAATCCTCACATGGCAAATAGTCATGTGGTGAAAGTGTGTTATCTTCATTCCTTGTCCACGTTACAAATATTCCACTTCCACTTTTCAAAACATCAGTGTTGTGATGATAGTCCCCACTATTTCGAAGTTTCAATAAGCCTAGCCTTCTTCCCTCAGACTTTAATGGATGGGATAAAATTCGTTGGACTTCCATTTCATTCTTGTGGGGGCCTAAATAGTGTTTTGTAATGTTTGTATAACCTTCATGGCAATATAAACAGAAATGCTTCTTATCCCAAAACCGAACACCATCCTGATTTTTAGATATTTGCACTTGTAATACACTGCATTTCGAATCAGACAATCTTTCAACCTCAGTGTTATCCCACATTAATTCTGGAAATATTTCTGACATTTTTTCATCCTCTGAATCATCCTCCAAATCTGATTTTGGCACAAAATCTGGATCAGCATCAAAATCTTCCCAATCGTTAAATTCCATGTCTGAAGGCTGGTACATGTCTGAAAGTTGGTCTATATCTGAAAGCTGATCTATGTCTAAGAGCTGGCTGACTGAAGCCTTCGCCATGACTGATTGCTGAATGCCCGAAGGCTGACCCATGTCTGAAGGCTGCCTGACTGACTGAAGGCTGGCTGAAGGCTGGCATCTGGCTGATGATTGGTCCATGTCTGATGATTGGATGAGTGATGATTGGTCCAGTGATGATTGGTCCATGTCTGATGATTGGATGAGTGATGATTGGCCCATGTCTGATGATTGGATGAGTGATGATTGGTCCATGTCTGATGATTGGATGAGTGATGATTGGCCCATGTCTAATAATTGGATGAGTGATGATTGGCCCATGTCTGAAGACTGCATTTCTGAAGGCTGTCTGACTGACTGAAGGCTGACTGAAGGCTGGATGTGTGATGATTGGCCTATGTCTGAAGGCTGGATGTGTGATGATTGGCCCATGTCTGAAGACTGCATGTCTGATGATTGGCCCATGTCTGAGGACTGTATGTCTAATGATTGGCCCATGTCTAAAGACTGAATGTCTGATGATTGGTCCATGTCTGAGGACTGCATGTCTAATGATTGGCCCATGTCTGGTGACTGCATGCCTGAAGGCTGTCTGACTGACGGAAGGCTGACTGAAGGCTGGATGTGTGATGATTGGCCCATGTCTGAAGGCTGGATGTGTGATGATTGGCCCATGTCTGAAGACTGCATGTCTGATGATTGGCCCATGTCTGGTGACTGCATGTGTGATGATTGGCCCATCTTTGAAGACTGCATGTCTGATGATTGGCCCATGTCTGAAGACTGCATGTCTGATGACCCTGTATTTGTAACAAGGTCCTGATCTTATATTTGTACAATTTTTAAGTTTAATATCAAATTAGTGTCTCTTAAGTAATATATAGCTGGCATAGGCAGTACTTTATCTTAGAACAATATAACAGCTATTTGTGTAATTATGAATGTAAGTGTGATAAATATAAATGAGAGTTTTGTGGCATAAAAATCATCGTTAGTAATAGTTAGAACCATTAATACATGGAATGTGTTTTTTGCAACATTTTTGCATCATTTTCAAATTTGTTAAGAATATGAGCAAAACTGATGTTGATTTACAAACAATCAATTCTGACCATTAATTAATGTAATTTCAACCAATTTATACTACCACTAATCGTACATCAAACTTATCTGCTTCTTCCCAGCTTCTGATTTTGTTGTCGAGATATAATTATTTTAGGCAATCAAAGCCTTTTAATTAGTTGTTAACTATAAATATTATTTATTTTACAACAAGTAGGAAACAAGATATCTTAACTAACATTAATCACTCTTGGCCCGGATGATAGCGTGCAGGAGTCTTAATGTGGGAGGAAACCAAAGGCCCCACAGAAAATCCATGTGGTTGGGCAGGTGACCCCAAACCTTTTCACATTTGATCGGGTATTCAACAGTCGCCTATGGCTTAGAATTTGGGGACGCAACATGGAAGTTCAAATCATTGGCATTTCAGATATAAATTGATAATTGACCCCAATTAGAAAATGAACCAATTGATCAAGGACGGGTGCAATGAAATTTATCTTTTAAAAACACGGCAATAAAAACATGTCTTTATCAGTTCAAGGGGGGGGGGGGGGGGGGGGGGGGGGGGGCTCAAAGTTTGCCAAAGAGGAATTAAACCCAACAAACTCTGTGATTCCTAACATGAACAGGGAGTATGCATAATGTACATGGGGAAAAATTCCTACCTTTTCCTTGAAGCTTCATAAGGTCCAGCTTATATGACTTCTTGTGTTCTGCAGACAGTTTTCCTGTAAGGTTAAGATGTATTATAAAACATTTCAGCTGCTTTGACCTATTTGGTTGAGGTCCTTCATAATCAACATTTAACTAAACAATATATTACAACATAGAAAACTAATAACTAGCTTTTTATATTTTATGATGTTTGATGTTACTGTACATTGTAAAATTCAAATTGAATTAGAAATACTCTAATTTGCCTGAAATAGACTGGTGACCTCCTCAATGTGGCTTGAAATACATGTATGTATATCATTTAATGTTTCATGATAAATAATTCTTACTCTTAATTGTTAGATGCCATTTGCACATATAATACAAGTGGCAATTCAAGATGGCCACCGGCAGCCATATCCAAATCTGTTATTTTTAGACTTAAACTTTGCTGTAAAACTAGGTCACATGTAGTAAACATGTCTACCAACTTAAGTCATCTTCCTTCCTTGAAAGCATGAAAATGATATTTAGGGCAGCTAAGAATAATGGATTATCCTTAAACAGTAGATTAGCAGTCCTTATTGCAATTAATCCAGAAAACAGTCACTACAATGTCTGCTTAATTTATCTCTAGCCCCATCGGTAGGCTTTGAAGTTACAGTAAAGTGAAGTAGATGTAATCAATTTATATACTGTATTATATTTATGACAGGGAACAAAACTATAGCATAATCAATTTTGGTTCACCTGTATGAATTGGCAAATTTTCATTACAGCTCTGTTTCCAGGATGATCAGCATTGTTTGAAATTAGCTGTTGGACTGCAATTATTGCATTATATAATTCTTTCAAAGAATTACTTCCATAATATTAAATTCAGTATTTGCCGTTGATAAATTGTCAGTCACTAAGATATATATCTGCAGTCACCATTGACTCAATGACCACACATTTAAAGTCGATAAAAAAAGAGGAATGTTTCTGCTCCAAGATACCGTCTCACAGTGGATAGAGATGTGTCATGTGAAATGACAAAATAATGGAATAGCAAACAAATATTAACAATTTTTGTTAAAGTAGAACATTTTACTTGTAGCAGCCCTAATTTATATAATACAGTACCTTTACCTGTAATATGATGATGCAATGCATAACAACAATGTATGTTTCATTTACCTAGAGACTTCTTAATTCTGGTATCATCAGCAGATGGTGGAATGGGACACCAATTACTGCATGTCAATGGAATGCTACAAGGCAAAAGAATAATGAAATAGATTATAAATACAGTATAAAATTCCAGTTAAAAGCAAAAAATACAAAGAAGCAAAATGAAAACTATTGTGCAATAATTAGGTCTAAGGTCGGGTGTCGATAGGGTGGTTCTAATGACCCTCTTCAATAGGCAGGTATTCCCTTCTGCAAAATTAATTGTTTTTGTTTTTTCTGTCTTAGATTTGGATTGTTTACATAGTTTACTCTGCCAGGTTTGTCCGGTGTTATTGACAACACATGTGCATTTGATTTCATTTGAAAATGGCAGTACAAATGTTGGGGTCAGACTGAAAATCTCAAAATGGTTGGGTTACCTCTGAAGCATACATAATTATGTATTGGCCCAATAATTATTAATATGATAAACACTTTACTTAGTATTTATAACTTACCTAACCTCCTCTTCCTCATTAAGAAATGTTCCGCAACCATCAACCACATACCCTGGCCACCAGATGCCTCCATCTATCTTAATCAGTATTCCACCCAGATTACCATTAGGCTCATGCAAATCTGTAATAAAAATGTCACCAGACTCTATCGTGTTTTCAATTACAGACTCTATCGTGTTTTCAATTACATGACATCCAAATTTCTTCTTACACTATTGTATCTGACTATTTTAATTATCAATATTTTGTTATTGAATTCATAAATAACATCTAAGTAATAGGAGTGCTTTGGCATAAAGAAAACAGCTAGCTTTATTAAAATATGCAAAGATCTGCAGTCAGGCAATCCTTAATATAATCTTTGTTTGGTTCTGACAGATGCAACCTTGCAGCAACTTGTTACTTTGGTTGATATAGCCAAGGTAGTAAAAATATTTCATTTGGATGAAGTATGAAAAGTTCATCATGTAAAAGTAATTATTTATGAGTAGCTACTACAAATAATTTTATAATTTCATTTTTAAACAAAACTTGTTTAAAATGGTGATACAATACCATTTAACATTCCTGGTACATATATATGTACTCATGCAGAAACCCAATAATTTTTTTCCAGTTGGCAGTTTATTTTTGGGATGGTCGGTCAGAGTCAAACAAACAATACAAGTATTTTAATTTAGGTCCCATTTTCTTCAGGGGGTTCTATACAGCGGACCTGTGATTTATAAACCAAGCGTACATGTAGAAAAGCACTTACCATTCTGCTTTTTCTTTTTGAGATTTGTCTTTCTCCTTTTCCTCCCCATCTAAATGAAAAACAAGAGATTTATAATTTCCGAAATTGTTGAGCTGAACAAATGCATTCATACATTTGCACATAGAGATGAAATTTGAGTGAATCATCATTGATAGAGACCTAGACACCAAAACATTTTAAAATGATCCTTTTCTTGTAATGTGGTATAAAAATAATAGAGCCAGAGCAAGCTTAGGAATAACAGCACCCAAACCTTTTAATGAAACTTGCTGACATTAGGTGGTAAAATGCTTTGTTGTAACCTGTTTGGTTCCCACGTAGCTATTTGGAGAGGAATCCTCATCTCTATTGATCATAAATAGCTTTAGCCTTAATGTAAAATAATACTTCAGCAACTATCTAATTGTGGTAGTACTATTAATTTCACTACTGTGCCTGATATGATTAATCTTACCTTTAAAGTAAACCATTGCAATGCTTTAACCATCATGCCAATTCATAAGCAAACACATTAAAATTACGAAAAGAACAAAAGTAAATTGCGGCGTAAAATCCAGCTGCACCGTAAAATATCAAAAAGTTGAAACCACAAAGAAATACTTCCAAGACATCAAACTCAAAGTCAGAACAAAAGGAACAAAGTTGGGAGTACTCAAAATCAGAAAGAAAACCAATAAAACCAAAAGGAATGTTGTCATCCATGGTCAAACAAAATGCAAACAAAATCAATGAAATAAAAAGCGCATCAATCTGTCAAAAAAAAAAAAAGTATTCTTAGCCTTATAATATGATGTTTGTTCCTCAAAGTTAAACATCCTTAGAGACAACTGACCTTTACATATAAGTGGTTCTTGTATGTGTGATCGTAGCCAGGAAATGCCAATGGCGACATGAAATTATAAGAAGCTAGAAACTGACATTAATTAGCTTTTTCAACATTTAACACTGCATTCCAGGCTTGCCTAGGCATGTACATGTACTTTAAGTCCTACTTTTAGTGAATGAAATAGATTTAATTGATTAATTTTTTTTTCAGTTTTAATTTTACATATATATAGGATTTAGGTTGCCTTCTAGCTTTGAGCTAGGGGGAATTTCCCTTTAGCTCAGTGGTAGAGCGTCAGACTAGTAACCTGGAGATCAAGGGTTTGACTCCTGGTGGAGGCACACTTTTCTCTTTCCTGTTACAAATGGTGTCGGACACCCTCCCTGAAATGATAGGGAGCTAGACCTGGATTGTGGTGTTTGAGGGCAAACACATTTAAAAGGGGGGAGTAGTGTGGCAGGGTTTAATTGTACATAGGATTTAGGTCGCCTTCTAGCTTCGGGCTAGGGGAGATTTCCCTTAGCTCAGTGGTAGAGCGTCCGACTGGTAACCTGGAGATTGAGTGTTCGACTCCTGGTGGAGGCACACTATTCTCTTTCCTATTACAGTACATATACATAGTGACAATAACAGTAGGTCTAGGATTTTGATAGTGGTTGGAGCTGACCAATTCATTAGTTGTCGGGGCTTGAGTTATTAATGTTTGTATTACCATTGTCCAGGTTACTTTCTCAGGTTGGCGAGTATTTTGTGATGTATTTCAATCATCAACAACATATTACTAGCCACCCATGTATGTGTAAATAAAAAAAATCTCTGGTTCCTTAGGTCAGCTTTGAGCCTTCCCTTTAGCTCAAATGATAGTGACAAGTAACCTGGAGATCTCCAGGTTACTAGCCGGACCATCATAGGTGTTCGTGGACAGGTTGGCGAGTATTTTGTGATGTATTTCAATCAAATAACTGCTCAACAACATATTACTAGCCACCCATGTATGTGTAAATAAAAAAAATCTCTGATGGCTCCTTTCCTCGTTCCTTAGGTCGCCTTCTAGCTTTGAGCTAGGGGGAACTTCCCTTTAGCTCAGTGGTAGAGCGTCTGACTACTGTGACAAGTAACCTGGAGATTGAGGGTTCGACTCCTGGTTGAGGCACACTATTCTCTTTCCTGTTACACTAGTAAAATACTCACCAACCAGTGATTTTCTTACCCTTTTTATACATGGGCCTGTACCTTTTTAATTGGGAAAATACAGTGGTATTTTCTGGCATTTGGGAAAACATGTTCTTTCTTTTGAAATGGAAAAATACCATGAACAGATATTTGTTTTACACTTATGTAGTTAGCTTCAAATGAATAAGATGTTTATAGGGCCATTTTCCTTGGTTTTTTAATCAAAATTTCTTCAAATTGAACAGGGACATTTTTTTATATTTTCTGATTGGGAAAATATGAACATGAAATTGATAAAATGTAACAAGATTTCTCTAGGGGGAGGGGCATTTATTCGGCCCCAAATGTACCCCAAAAAATCACTGCCAACGTTAACCTATCCACTAAAACGTTTCCCATAATAGTCAGTGGAATTTTAGTTGCTGAGTTGAGTTTCCAATGACCAGTCACCTGTAGCAAGTGACACATACAAGACACAACCACAGTGCTGATGAAGCTAAATACTCACTAGGCCTATTATATTAAGGTTTTATTGTCACTATATCTATATTCAAATTTTGGGTTGCCCATTTGCTGTAATTTTTGAAACATACACAAACTTGCTTAAAATGCTGACATTAAAGTTGTTGTCATTCATTTTGGGCCTACCTGAAACATAGACGAGTTGACTTTTAAGTGTAAGTGACACCCGTCGATCACATTTGCTTCAACTTGAATATCTAATTATATATATAAATGGCCGTCAATACATACCACAAGTCTGGCTATGTAATGGCATATCATGCACAATATTCACCAACCGTGCCTCTATGTTTAAACGTGCAATAAATTCTGCTAATTTCAACAGATGCTTTGTAGAAAATACGTCAACGAAGAATTCCTGGGTATCAGCCCTGAACGTGTTATTAAAATCCAGTGAGTGAAACAGGCAGTAGCAAATACATTGATCGTAATTCTTATAATGTCGTGTAACAATATAACCTGCAGTTTTCTTTGCCTCCATAACCTGCATAAACCCAAAACCCAAATCTTACCTCGCTGGACACTTCTGAGGACCGTCACCTCGTGCTGGCGCCTTTTCCGTACAATGTCGGGATAAGTTCCGACGACTTCCGAATCGCGTGCGCGATTGCGCGCGCATTCCGAACGTAGTGTGTGGTGTTCGGTGTCGTGTGTGTTTGAAAAGAAAAAGTTGATCCCATGTAACCGTCACACGCGCACAAACATTTCACCGTTGTAGGGAGGTAGTCACGAAATTTAGCGAGCGTGTTCAAGACGAACTCCCGAAGTAGTTGGCGAGGTATACCTACCGAGGTAATGGAGAAAAGTACCTCGGTAGTTTCCCTTACCTCGGTACGTGGGTGTGTAGTTCAATGAGTTACCTCGGCATGTTAGCAGCACAAACGCACACACACACACACACACACACACACCTACCTCGTCGTGACCAGGCAGGATCTTTTGAAGGCTTTTTAGTTTCTCTACACCGAAAGATCGGCTGTCGCCCATCTTGATGAGCTCTACAACAACCTCTGTCGGCTTCCTGAACTGCTTCAGAAATATGTTAACGTTCATACTCTTCTTTGGGTCAAGGAGGGCGATCTGCAAATCACAATCACAGAGACAGCAATATTTAATTTAATTTTTTTTTTGTGATGAAACAAATGCGTAAATGTTAACGTAGACTTGTGATCTGTTGCATAGCGATAGGTAATACTTTTTATTCAAGTTCAATAGACGTTAACATTAATGGAACATAGATATCAAGTCTTGACTGTTTTATGTATGATACTCAACTAATTTTAGACCTAGCCGTATCCATCCGGAATTTTTAATAGTATTTTAGAAAAGGAAATACAAGAATCAAAAAGGAGCATGGGAAGCTTTGAGTGCATCACAGAAACAGTGCATAGGGAGTTCTAAAGGACAGATAATTGCGGTAAGAACAGGCCGAACGATGTGGATAGACTAGCAAGAGGAGCCAGGGTACAAGGACAGATAATGGCGGTAAGGACAGACCGAAAGATGTGGATAGCAAAAGGAGCCAGGGCGTCAATCTAACAGCTAAGCCTGTTGATGTCTGTGTAAACTAATGGACGATGGACAGTAAAGGATGTGGAGCAGAACTCAAAAAGATTTCGTAATATTGCTGAGAAGGTATGCTCTTCTTGTCGTATGGTTTACATGCATAACCATCCCTTTGAACACACTTTTAAACGGTGGTCAACGTTGACAACTGTGATTGGAAAAAACATGGCAGGCAGTGTATACATCATCATATCACGTGTAGCATTAACACAGAAAATGAAGCGTCATACAGACATTGCACATACAGTCGGACATCTGTATCTCGAACTCGGTGGAACCATGGGAAAACTTCGAGAAAACCGAGTGTTAAATTTAAGCGAACTCAAATGTTTTGTGTGCAGTTAGACAAGAACCGATGAAATTAATCGATTGAAAAGGATGCTTTGAGTTATACGAGTTCGAGATAACGAGGTTCAACTGTATAATAAATTAATGTAGAAATGGTAACGGTATTATGGTCAAATAATGCACCAGTCATAGCTGAAATGGGCAGCTTTATCTACAGGAAAAAAGGAAAACTGCTGTGAAGAGATTCATACTCGACATGTACTACCTTCTTCGTGTTACCTCCAGGACTATCCTCATTCACAGTCCCTGTATCATCCTTCAAAACAAAATTTCTTTGAGATGCCAATTTTCATACACTATGAACTAAAACACGGGGATCTTGTATGCCGCCATTACAGAGAATATTCTCTATATCTTTCTTGGCTGTATATTCGCATGTCAGATCGTTTTGTATGCATATGTGCAGGAGTACATGTTGAAAGAGTAGCTGGTGTTTTACTTCGCCACAAGGCTCCTCATTTTTCACCTTTTAAGTTGAATAGGTCAACGAACTATACCACAGAGAGTTAGCGGTAATCAAACTTATATTGATAAATATCTGATCGTTTGTTATCCTGATTAATAATTAAACATGTATTTCATTGTACAAAAGGTAAGTGTACCTCTGCTGCGCCGGAATGTCTACGAGCCAACGGAGATTTTCCGGAGTCTGGTCGGAGTTCAGATACTGTAGGTAAGGATTTTTGAGCAAACATCTCTTCTAACTTCTTATACTCAACCGGTATATCGTCAGCCATTTTGTTGACATCGCCCCATACACTGTCATCTAGTCACAAAAGCAAGTTCTAATTAATATCAGAAAATCTTAAACTAAGAAATTATTTTTGTTAATGGCAGAAAGTTATTAGTAGGTTGCTATCTAGAAACGGAAAGAACGTTATCATAACCTTGAAATTGATGGCATACACAGGAACGTTTAATTAGTTACAATATCGGACAAGAGACCATTCCCGGATACTGGTGACATTCATACGTGATAACTTTGTTACATTAACAAGACTCGCGCCGTTTAGGGAGATTCGTTTTAGATGTGTCCACTTAAATGATACGTGAGGGAGGATACGATACTCACTATTAAAGGCAGTAGTTGGAATCTTGCTCCACATGAGGTGTTTCATCTTGCATTTAGGTTCTGGTGTAGATATTGTCGGTGGAAGAGGAACAGCTGGGCTGGCAGGAAATCCCATTCCTGGAGATGGTGATCCTGGGGGAGGGGGCACCCCTGGAGGAGGTGGTGGACCTCCACCGGGCGGGGGTGGTGGACCTCCACCTGGAGGAGGTGGAGGAGGTGGTGGACATCCACCTGGAGGAGGTGGAGGAGGTGGAGGAGGTGGAGGGGCAGGACAACCTGGAGCTGGAGGTGGGGGAGGTGGTGGTGGAGGAACTCCACTTCCAGGTGGAACAGGGGGTGGCGGAGGAGGTGGGGGAGGCGCTCCTCCAACTACTGGAGGTGGAGGTGGTGCTGGTGGAGGAGTCACAGTGACAAAAGGCTTAGCCAGTTGAATTGTATACGTTGATGTGTTTGGAAGCGTAGCTGTTCTCGCATTCAATACATCTGTGACGCCCTGGTACGCCTCCGTAGACAGCGGATTACCCCTGTTAATATGGCGCGAAGACTTCGGGCTGCATGGCACTTCGTCCGTCTGGACTCGTTTATCTGAGGTTAGCTGAAGCTTCACTTTGGCCGCGTTCCTCACTCGGAGTTTCTCTTGCTCGGACTTTGCGGTGAGAACATCCTGTGTCAATCTCTCTAGGAAACACCAGGTACTTTCGCTATAACATACACAATACACTACACTAAGTAATCTTATTCCTTCACTGTAAGACGGACAGACAGGTGACATCCGTGAAATAAACGGATGCCAACACTCTGGTATTGACAGAACTTAATATAACCTGATACCTCTCTTTACATTTAAGGTCAGTTTTACTTGCTGGGTATCAGTATGGAGACCTTGGTGAATCTTTAAACTCTATGCTAAGAAAAAATAGTTCTTGTTTTCGAAAATCTTGAAATAATTCCGCTTTGAACCCTGATTTGTATCTCTTTTTGCTATCACATGTGCGTTGTGCACATGCATTGTGTTAGTAAATATCTTACCTCTGCGTGGTACCAACGTCTATTTGGAACATATTGTAGAGGATACCGAGCAAGGAGGAGCTAATGGGCGTGTCTCGCACCTAAAATGTTCATAACGGACATGAAAGGAGGACATATTTATCAAATCATTATGAAATCAGTTCTGTACATTAACAAAAGACAATTCCGTGAAACAAAGTTCTTCCACGTGCAGTTTGTGCTTACAAAAATGTATCAAGAACATCACCTTCTAATGAAACGCAGTTCCGAAAAGAAATGTCTCATTTTAAAGTTTTAAAATTTAGAAAAATATCTTACAGAATTTATTACAAAATATGTATAAAACATTAAAGTAAATGACCCGACCCTTGTGTAGACTGCTTTGAACAAGGCCTCTGGGTCACCTATGTTGACATTTCCTGTTTCTCGCATCTCCTCCACAGCTTCCATATCGGCGCCATATTCCTCATCAAATACGTCACACTGTAGGTTAAGGTCAGGGTCATCCTCAATGCGCAGGCTCTTTATGGTACTAACGATCCCAAGGTCTGGTTTATAAAAATAATATACGTGCAAGGAGGTATACAAATGTGTGATTAAAGGTCACTGAATGCCATCCTTGGTATTTTATCCTTTCCTGTCGTGTTAGGATGTATTGCGTGTTTATAATTGTGCATTTTCTCACAAATGAGCTTATCACATTAAGGTTGATGTCACTTAAATGACTATGCATCATTGTTTTAAATGAAAGTTTAATTTGGATACAACAAAAGCCCATCAAGTACTGTACCAAATGAAGTTTTTTTCATATTATGTTTGGGACGACACGTACATATAAACTCGTTTCTGATTCGCTGTCTGTCCTGGAGTCTCTCATTGGCCACAATGATGGAGTTGATTAACGCCATAATGGTTGTGTTGTACGTAGTCAGATCAGAATTCCGCAATTCGTTCACCAGAAGGCTGAAGCGGTACTGTAGTTTCTTAAATACCTGGAACAACACACTCGCATTTAAAGATTTTTTATCAGCAACACTACAGTAATCTGACAGCAATGTTAAATATCTAATGATAAAGCAGCTGTATGATGCAGTTTAATTCAATACTTTGGATTTACTTTGTCTGTTGTAGATACGACCCTATAGATCATTATGGTGTTACTAAATGTATTGATGCACCAAGGACCTCGAGTGATATCCCAGAAATAGGATATTGTTTTGACGCCAGTATGTGTCGATACAAATAACATAATCGCTGTCGGTAGTGCGAGCCCTGATCTCCCGGGAATTTGGCCAATCATTTTTTTTATTCGTGTTTGATTGTTAAATCATTTTTTGAAAAGAGAATTGATTATTTTTGTATTTTCATAATAATTTCAGCAGTTCATAACGTCTCTTTTCCCAGAATTGTCTTACGTACAGACGCACCTTATAGTTTTCGAGGGCGTCCAGTGTGAGGTAGTAACCGTCTGTTGAGTACACACATAGTGCGGACAGCAGTTCGAACACCTGCATTTTCACCATCAGGTTCTTCGTCTCCAGAGCTGAAACAGATACGTTCAATGGCTACAGTACAGGCCTTTTATACACTAAATAACTGTCTACAAGCATTTATTCTATACTCCTAAAATCGACATTGGTTTCAAAGGAATTACACTCAGAGTGCACATTGATGTAGTCTAGAGTCTATGGTGATTTAACACAGAATAGCTGTATCATATGTAGGGAGGTATTTTTAGCTATCATATGTAGGGGGGTATTTTTTGTGATGATTTAACACAGAATAGCTGTATCATATGTAGGGGGGTATTTTTTATGATGATTTAACACAGAATAGCTGTATCATATGTAGGGGGGTATTTTTTGTGGTGATTTAACACAGAATAGCTGTATCATATGTAGGGGGGTATTTTTTGTGGTGATTTAACACAGAATAGCTGTATCATATGTAGGGGGGTATTTTTTGTGATGATTTAACACAGAATAGCTGTATCATATGTAGGGGGTATTTTTTGTGATGATTTAACACAGAATAGCTGTATCATATGTAGGGGGGTATTTTTATGATGACTTAACACAGAATAGCTGTATCATATGTAGGGGGGTATTTTTTGTGGTGATTTAACACAGAATAGCTGTATCATATGTAGGGGGTATTTTTTGTGGTGATTTAACACAGAATAACTGTATCATATGTAGGGTGGTATTTTTTGTGGTGATTTAACACAGAATAGCTGTATCATATGTAGGGGGGTATTTTTTGTGGTGATTTAACACAGAATAGCTGTATCATATGTAGGGGGGTATTTTTTGTGGATTTAACACAGAATTGTGTGGGGATTTTTTGTGGTGAAACACAGAATAGCTATGTAATATGTAGGGTGGTATTTTTTGTGGTGATTTAACACAGAATAGCTGTATCATATGTAGGGGGGTATTTTTTGTGGTGATTTAACACAGAATAGCTGTATCATACAGAATAGCTGTAGGGGGGTATTTTTTGTGGTGATTTAACACAGAATAACACTGTATTTTTTGATGATTTATATGTATCATATGTAGGTATTTTTTGTGATGATTTAACACAGAATAGCTGTATCATATGTCGGGGGGTATTTTTTGTGGTGATTTAACACAGAATAGCTGTATCATATGTAGGGGGGTATTTTTTGTGGTGATTTAACACAGAATAGCTGTATCATATGTAGGGGGGTATTTTTTGTGGTGATTTAACACAGAATAGCTGTATCATATGTAGGGGGGTATTTTTTGTGATGATTTAACACAGAATAGCTGTATCATATGTAGGGGGGTATTTTTTGTGGTGATTTAACACAGAATAGCTGTATCATATGTAGGGGGGTATTTTTTGTGGTGATTTAACACAGAATAGCTGTATCATATGTAGGGGGGTATTTTTTGTGGTGATTTAACACAGAATAGCTGTATCATATGTAGGGGGGTATTTTTTGTGATGATTTAACACAGAATAGCTGTATCATATGTAGGGTGGTATTTTTTATGATGATTTAACACAGAATAGCTGTATCATATGTAGGGGGGTATTTTTTAGGATGATTTAACACAGAATAGCTGTATCATATGTAGGGGGGTATTTTTTGTGGTGATTTAACACAGAATAGCTGTATCATATGTAGGGGGGTATTTTTTGTGGTGATTTAACACAGAATAGCTGTATCATATGTAGGGGGGTATTTTTTGTGGTGATTTAACACAGAATAGCTGTATCATATGTAGGGGGGTATTTTTTGTGGTGATTTAACACAGAATAGCTGTATCATATGTAGGGGGGTATTTTTTGTGGTGATTTAACACAGAATAGCTGTATCATATGTAGGGGGGTATTTTTTGTGGTGATTTAACACAGAATAGCTGTATCATATGTAGGGGGGTATTTTTTGTGGTGATTTAACACAGAATAGCTGTATCATATGTAGGGGGGTATTTTTTGTGGTGATTTAACACAGAATAGCTGTATCATATGTAGGGGGGTATTTTTTGTGGTGATTTAACACAGAATAGCTGTATCATATGTAGGGGGTATTTTTTGTGGTGATTTAACACAGAATAGCTGTATCATATGTAGGGGGGTATTTTTTGTGATGATTTAACACAGAATAGCTGTATCATATGTAGGGGAGTATTTTTTGTGGTGATTTAACACAGACTAGCTGTATCATATGTAGGGGGGTATTTTTTGTGGTGATTTAACACAGAATAGCTGTATCATATGTAGGGGGGTATTTTTTGTGGTGATTTAACACAGAATAGCTGTATCATATGTAGGGGGGTATTTTTTGTGGTGATTTAACACAGAATAGCTGTATCATATGTAGGGGGTATTTTTTGTGGTGATTTAACACAGAATAGCTGTATCATATGTAGGGGGGTATTTTTTGTGGTGATTTAACACAGAATAGCTGTATCATATGTAGGGGGGTATTTTTTGTGGTGATTTAACACAGAATAGCTGTATCATATGTAGGGGGTATTTTTTGTGGTGATTTAACACAGAATAGCTGTATCATATGTAGGGTGGTATTTTTATGATGATTTAACACAGAATAGCTGTATCATATGTAGGGGGGTATTTTTTGTGGTGATTTAACACAGAATAGCTGTATCATATGTAGGGGGTATTTTTTGTGGTGATTTAACATAGCTGTATCATATGTAGGGGGTATTTTTTGTGGTGATTTAACACAGAATAGCTGTATCATATGTAGGGGGGTATTTTTTGTGGTGATTTAACACAGAATAGCTGTATCATATGTAAACTGCAAGTTTCCCGGTACTTTTTTGTTTTCACGTTCTATCTGTACAATCGATGCATTAGGGTTGGAAGAACTTGTGACATATAACTATTTCCATGGTGTAATGATTTAATAGATAGTGTCAATTATAATATCATTGTCTTTACTTGAAAGTATATTTCTATAGGAATGTAAAATACTGGTATATCTAGGTACACTTACACTCACAGTAGAGTGTGGTAAGTAGACAGATGCAGAGTGATAATGATTACTAGTTGTGTGTGTAAAAAGTGATAGGGTGTGTAATAATTAATACACTGTAATAAATATTACACTGTGCAATACTTAATGCACTGTGTAATATTTAATAAACTGTGTAATAATTAATACACAACGTAATATTATACTTTGTGATAATAAATACTTAATACACTGTGATAATTGCTGAACTATCTGATAATTAGTACACTTTGTATTAAGCATGACATTATGTAATACTTAATACACTGTGTAATACTTAATAGAATGTGTGATAATCAATACCTTGTGTAACGCTTAATACACTGTATAATATTTATTACACTGTGTAATAATTAATACACTTTGTAATAGTTAATGCATTGCCCAATACGTAATGTGTTGTGTAATAAGCAATGTGTTGTGATACATTTTAAGTGTAAGTAATGCATCGTGTTATTAATAATGTACTATTACAATGTATAACAAGGTCGAATAATGAACTTAACCACGTATGTAATAAAAGGTAATATATGAAAAGAATGCATTATAATGAGAAGTAGAATTAATGTTGTCTAAAACAAGATATTATGTAATGTTAGGATAATACACTATTGTACTATTGTAGCATAAAAAGTAATGCATTGTTTGATCAGAAATATATTATATGGTATAATAGTAGTGGTTGTGGAGTTGTGTGGTTCCAAAGGTTCTATATACACAGCTACAACATGTGGGATGATATAATCAGATGTTTGATAAAAGGACACAACAGATAATGACATTAAATGTCAACAGTGATGAGATAGGGGAACCTTGTGTAACGGTGTCAGACTCACTAGTTCTACAGACAACCACGATAATGTAACGTTTTGTGAATCATCAGTAAGATCTGTACACATCTTACAGACATAACACCCGGACAAGGTAGGTTACAACTATAAATTATAATCGTGTGATGAGTAAATAAATGTCTCTATTTATCAGAATACCTGTCTACATCCGTCTTCAGAAAATCTTAGCTCGACAACGCAAAAACCCAACAAAAATAAACTTAATGTACATATGTTGTAGGGAGAAACGCTTATTTATGAATCATCGTACTGGCAGTTGGAGAAATCGTCATATAAGTATACAAGGTTAAGGTAAACTGCCAGAATCACCACTATATGTACGTCTACAACGATGACGTAATAAACACACAGTAAGAATCTTTATTAGAAACCACTGTACTTACACAACAAACAGGAATTTCTCGTCTAAAAGAGTTCTATCTTTTTTACGAGATATCTGTTTTCTATAAGAACAAATATTCTTAAAATTATTAACCAGATACAATACTGGAGCAGTCTGTCGGAGGTGCATGTAACTTGAAACAAACAAACACGATCCAAAACATGGCACTTATTAAATAACACAGCCAGTCGGTACACACCAATACACCAGCTACATGATGAAATATTTAAAGGTGGTTTTTGATATCTTAAAAATATCGTTCATTTTCTCTCTAGTAAAACATGTAGTGAGAATGAATTAGACCCAAAATTGTGCTGAATGTTTTGCCGATAATATCCTTACTTTGTGTTAGGTGCAATTCTTAGCATGGGCAATATCATATAACAGATGCATGTTGGAGATGAAATCGTAACTCTTCAGATTAGAGGTAATATTCGACGGTACGTACATGTAGTATTAGTAACGCGTTTGGTAGGATCATGTGACAAACACTGAATTAAACAGACCACAAAACGTCACCAGTAGCTAACGGACGTTTTCCGCTATGTAAATGTAACTACTGTTTTATCATAAGTTTTTAGAAAGTTCACTGTGTGTCGATGGAGTAAACCGCCACTTATAAACCACATGTAAAGACCACTGTTAATAATTTAAGCCTATATTTCCGAGAATCATCACAACTTCAATATACTTCAACCACATAGCTAACATTCTTGGGTCGTGTACTTCCCTCTTCATCATTGATGTATTTTTGGCCTCCAGTTCAACATACAAAATAACAAGCAAGATATTCTACCGTATTATCTTCTAAAGAGGTTCAAACGAGTAGGTTATTAACCTACGACCCCATGATTTCACTTAAGAAGAAGGATGCTGTATTCAGGAAGTTGAAATTTGTTGCACTTTTATTAACTATTCTTTTTTCTGTGTAACTGTCGCGAAAGAGTTTTCTTTTCCCGCGCCAACTCTCCCTTACATAATCTAAAAACATTGGAATTTTCCCGGTGGACATGGATAAGGCTTGTGCCGGCAGACTTGCTCTCTTACATTATCTTGAAAATATCGGAGCTCTCTCACAAGTATAGGCCGAATTATTCTAATATGCTATCGACTTTTTTTAGATCGGTCTGGAGACGATGAATGACGTCAGAATTATAGTTTATCGACTCCAGATCGATATAGAAAAAATCGATAGAACGTCAGTATAATTCGGACTACCGTAGACATTGTGGAAAAGCTTTCAGCTGTCAAACTTACCCTTGCGTCGTCTAAAACCATGAAATATGAGCCCTCCGTTGGATATACCTTTCCCAGTACAACTCTCCCTTACATCATTTCGAAAACGTCGGAGCTCTCCGACACAGCTGTAGCTCATGACCTAACCATTTTGTGTTTTATTCTGCAATCTACTTAGAAAAAATGTACTGTCATGTCACCAGTGTACAGTAATACTGGCTCAAAGCCTCTTAGTTAGTTTTGTTAAAAATCCCTCCTCGAATTTATTTCCCTTCCTGTGAATATTTTTCGTCATGACAGGAGTCATTTTATTTGTGATTTAAATAATCCAGATACAGTGATGACCTGTTTGGTCTGACCAAAATGCTGATCAATGACGTCATCAAACAATCGATACAAAAAGATGATATTAGTAGCCATTAGTCATGCCTTTAGACTCCTCGAATTAGACAAACCGGGTCCTGAACCCTGATCACCGTCAAGGTCCCTCACGAGTAACACACGTGTTCAGCATAGTTCATAGATCGCTACCACAAACAGTGAAGTGAGTAAACCTAGAAATATTTTTCAAGCCAGACATAGCTGTATAGGTAGTACGGAGTTCTGTTAGTGTAGTTAGGGCTTCAGCGATCTTAAGAAATTACATATTTTCTTTCTTCACCGCACGCGTCGATAGTCACCTTACTGCGGGAAAACGCGATGTTTTGATAATGTTGAAATGTGAAATAGCCACAGGGCTGTAGTTTAACTGGTGGTTTAAAATTCACATTATCATTCAGTACGCGTGACATTACAGAATAAAATGTCCTTATACGTGTAGATTTGTATACTTTCATTGTTTCTACTCGGTAATCAGTACAGTGTACCTACTTTTTTTAGTGGTATTGCAGTCCAATATAAATAAACACGTATATCTCGACAATTTACGTCAAATGGTGTAACTTGTATTCCAGATCAGAATAACTTGACTATATTTGGAGTTCGGAAAAAGAAGAGAATTCCGTGGGTCTGGTATAGTAAAGACTATGCTGGAGACGGATTCGGGATAATTGTATTGTAAATACAAGGGGTGGTGGCTTTGGGATAACTACCTACTGGTGAGGGGTTAGGACCTAATGGGGAGGGGTTTGGACCTTTTGTCGAGGGGCTAATGATAACTACCTACTGGGGAGGGGTTAGGACCTACTGTGGAGGGGCTAAGGATAACTACCTACTGGGGAGGGGTTAGGATCTATTATGGAGGAGCTAAGGATAACTACCTACTGGGGAGGGAATAGGACCTACTGGGGAGGGGCTAAGGATAACTACCTACTGGGGAGGGGTTTGGACCTTTTGTGGAGGGGCTAAGGATAACTACCTACTGTGGAGGGGTTAGGACTTACTGGGGAGGGGCTAAGGATAACTACCTACTGGGGAGGGGTTTGGACCTTTTGTGGAGGGGCTAAGGATAACTACCTACTGTGGAGGGGTTAGGACCTACTGTGGAGGGGTTAGGACCTACTGTGGAGGGGTTAGGACCTACTGGGGAGGGAATAGGACCTACTGTGGAGGGGTTAGGACCTACTGTGGAGGGGCTAAGGATAACTACCTACTGGGGAGGGGTTTGGACCTTTTGTGGAGGGGCTAAGGATAACTACCTACTGGGGAGGGGTTAGGACCTACTGTGGAGGGGCTAAGGATAACTACCTACTGGGGAGGGGTTAGGACCTATTATGGTGGAGCTAAGGATAACTACCTACTGGGGAGGGGTTAGGAGCTTTGTGGAGGGGCTAAGGATAACTACCTACTATGGAGGGGTTAGGACCTATTATGGAGGAGCTAATGATAACTACCTACTGGGGAGGGGTTAGGACCTACTGTGGAGGGGCTAAGGATAACTACCTACTGGGGAGGGGTTAGGACCTACTGTGGAGGGGCTAAGGATAACTACCTACTGGGGAGGGGTTAGGAGCTTTGTGGAGGGGCTAAGGATAACTACCTACTGGGGAGGGGTTAGGACCTATTATGGAGGAGCTAAGGATAACTACCTACTGGGGAGGGAATAGGACCTATTATGGAGGGGTTAGGACCTACTGTGGAGGGGCTAAGGATAACTACCTACTGGGGAGGGGTTAGGACCTACTGTGGAGGGGCTAAGGATAACTACCTACTGTGGAGGGGCTAAGGATAACTACCTACTGGGGAGGGGTTAGGACCTACTGTGGAGGGGCTAAGGATAACTACCTACTGGGGAGGGGTTAGGATCTACTGTGGAGGGGCTAAGGATAACTACCTACTGGGGAGGGGTTTGGACCTTTTGTGGAGGGGCTAAGGGGTTAGGACCTAACTAAGGATACCTACTGGGGAGGGGTTTGGACCTTTTGTGGAGGGGCTAAGGATAACTACCTACTGGGGAGGGGTTAGGTTTGTGGAGGGGCTAGGATAACTACCTACTGGGGAGGGGTTAGGAGCTACCTAAGGATAACTACTGGGGAGGGGTTTGGACCTACTTGTGGAGGGGCTAAGGATAACTACCTACTGGGGAGGGGTTAGGACCTACTGTGGAGGGGCTAAGGATAACTACCTACTGGGGAGGGGTTAGGAGCTTTGTGGAGGGGCTAAGGATAACTACCTACTGGGGAGGGGTTAGGAGCTTTGTGGAGGGGCTAAGGATAACTACCTACTGGGGAGGGAATAGGACCTACTGTGGAGGGGCTAAGGATAACTACCTACTGGGGAGGGGTTAGGAGCTTTGTGGAGGGGCTAAGGATAACTACCTACTGGGGAGGGGTTAGGACCTACTGTGGAGAGGCTAAGGATAACTACCTACTGGGGAGGGGTTAGAAGCTTTGTGGAGGGGCTAAGGATAACTACCTACTGGGGAGGGGTTAGGACCTATTATGGAGGGGTTAGGACCTACTGTGGAGGGGCTAAGGATAACTACCTACTGGGGAGGGGTTAGGACTTACTGGGGAGGGGCTAAGGATAACTACCTACTGGGGAGGGGTTAGGACTTACTGGGGAGGGGCTAAGGATAACTACCTACTGGGGAGGGGTTAGGAGCTTTGTGGAGGGGCTAAGGATAACTACCTACTGGGGAGGGGTTAGGAGCTTTGTGGAGGGGCTAAGGATAACTACCTACTGGGGAGGGGTTAGGACCTACTGTGAAGGGGTTAGGACCTACTGTGGAGGGGCTAAGGATAACTACCTACTGGGGAGGGGTTAGGACCTACTGTGGAGGGTTAGGACCTACTGTTGAGAGGCTAAAGATAACTACCTACTGGGGAGGGGTTAGGACCTACTGTGGAGGGGCTAAGGATAACTACCTACTGGGGAGGGGTTAGGAGCTTTGTGGAGGGGCTAAGGATAACTACCTACTGGGGAGGGGTTAGGACCTTTTGTGGAGGGGCTAAGGATAACTACCTACTGGGGAGGGGTTAAGAGCTTTTGTTGAGGGGCTAAGTATAACTACCTTCTGGGGAGGGGTTAAGAGCTTTGTGGAGGGGCTAAGGATAACTACCTACTGGGGAGGGAATAGGACCTACTGTGGAGGGGTTAGGACCTACTGTGGAGGGGCTAAGGATAACTACCTACTGGGGAGGGGTTAGGACCTATTATGGAGGAGCTAAGGATAACTACCTACTGGGGAGGGAATAGGACCTACTGTGGAGGGGTTAGGACCTACTGTGGAGGGGCTAAGGATAACTACCTACTGTGGAGGGGTTAGGACCTACTGTGGAGGGGCTAAGGATAACTACCTACTGGGGAGGGGTTAGGACCTATTATGGAGGAGCTAAGGATAACTACCTACTGGGGAGGGGTTAGGACCTTTTGTGGAGGGGCTAAGGATAACTACCTACTGGGGAGGGGTTAAGAGCTTTGTGGAGGGGCTAAGGTTAACCACCTACTGGGGAGGAATAACTGCTATACCCACCAGGGAGCTTCCTACAAGAGTGAGATCGGCAAGAATAGGGATTATCTAACAAACCGGGGTTAGGGATAACTATGTGCCAAGAATGGGTTAAGGATAAGTACCTCCAGCAATGCTACTTACCAGTTTAAGATCGGGAGGGGTAAGGGAAGTAATGTTGATAACTGCCTGGCGCAGAGCTGCATTGTACTTACCAGGGTAAGTTGGAGAGGGGTTAGGGATATGTACCTACCAAGGAGGGGTTAAGGATAAATACCTACCCCACAGTTACTTACAAGGTTGTAGGGGTTGGGGAGGGAATAAAGATACCTACCAACAGGATGGGGATAAGGGATTACTACCTACCTGGAGCTGCATGGTACCTTCCAAGGTGAGGGATTGGGCATTGCCTTTCGGAGAAGGGCAGGGATAACTACCTACCAATGATAAGCAAGGTGAGGTCGGGGTTAGAGATAGCTACCTACCCGAGGCGAATCTCCTTCCAAACAGGTTGTCGTTACGGCCCTTTAACGTAAGGAGACAGTCTAGTCCACTTTGGGAGTTTACCACTTCCCGAATACACATGATACACTCCATCCTCAGAACCATGTCCGAGAAATGAGTCCCTCCAATCTCACCAAGCTTCTTTAGACATTGGAAAAGGAATCCGAGACCGTCAAACTCCAGGAATTCCGACATCCAGTCGCGGTCATTTCCCTTGATGGACCGCCGTAATTTGGCCAAGTTAGCAATGGTAGGATTCCGAATCCATTGGAGAAAGTTGACGGCGTCTGCGCCCCCGGCTCCTCTGTCCGGAGAGCTCTCGTCCTCGGAGTTCCCCAAGTCCAATCCCACAACAAATCCATCAGATCGGTGCCGCTGGACTCGTTTCTGTTTTCGTTTGTTGGCGAACCTGCTGGCCTTTGTGACTTTGACCACTCCGTTTGAATGTTTTGGTGTGTCCATTGTTCCCTATCGATGGTAACCAAAACAATCCCCGATTGTATTCATCAAGGTACCAATGCGCATCCGAACCACACGGTATGCATGTGCGCAATGGATAGTTTAGACTTGTTGGGAAGTTTGAGAAGCCTTATGTTCCAGTATACACAAGCGGGGAACATCCCTGTTGTTGGTGCGTGATAATATCACACATTTACAGACAGCTTCTCGGAGGGAGTGCACAAATTGCCTACCGGCACGTGTATATAACTGTTATACAGCACATCGCAGCAATTTTTACACAAACAATACATATACTTGTATTAGCACTGTATGGTTTTACCTATACAGCGGTCTATAGTATACAGTAGTGTAATTGATGACAGACCGATCAAATAGCGCCACTCAGGCGACTAATGACATTTATCTTGCATCGGCACACTCGGAACCTCTCGTACAGGAACAGGAGAACACATTCACTGATGTGTACGTACACATATTAGTGGTTAGACTGACTCATGACATAAAAGAGTGTGAAAAATGCATTCGTTGCCTTACCACTTGTACGGCACAATGAGATCAGCGGCCTTGAAATTCGGCAGAATTATTTCTACAGAAATTTTAGTTTCACTGTGCTATAACGACGATATCACGACACTCTAGCGGGTCACTGGGCACGATATCACGACACTCTAGCGGGTCACTGGACACGATATCACGACACTTCAGCGGGTCACTGGACACGATATCACGACATTCCCGCGGGTCACATAGTACTGGGCAACATGTCCATACTGTTTACCTTGTCTTAAAGAATATTATGTAACATTCAATGACCATACAAGATTTTTTTAGACGGTGTAAATTGTAGATATTTTTAGATAGCAATGCGAAAACATTCCGTCAAAACTGGCCAGAAAAATCAAGCCTGTCTGATTAATAAAAAGTATCACTTCTGTGTAACTTCGATAGAAAAGTCCAATCCCCAATGTCGTTTATAATTCGTATCTGTGTGCATTTGGAGCCCTTTTTTTCAATATTTTGAACATGTCTCGATGTTATTCTTTGAACGCAGTCATATAATTAAATATACCAGGTCCTTGAGTTTTACAAAGTTCTACAACCATCACCAGGTCTTCCTTAGGTAGAGTGATTTCTAACAGACATACTTTAAGGGTAGCATTACTTTTAATTCGCTATTTCCATTCATCTTTCTATCACCTCTAATGGTAAACACGATTCTCTCTCTATAAAGTTTCCTTCGAGTCTTTGAAAATAAATTAGTTCTTTGCTCTTTCAATTTTTATTTATTTTTGATATTTTAAGTTCAAACAAAAATTCACTGATTTTATTATGAAGTACATTTGTTCGAGATCCTTGTCATTAACAACGCGGTTGAACCTGAATCGACAATATTGACTTTGAAGTCATTAAGAGATGGATGTTTTGAAATGGTCATTAAGTGTTTTACACATTTGGTAGCCTCCATCACAAATAGTTTTAACAGTCATCGCTATAAAGAAGACAAGGTTAAATAAAGGTATGACAGCAAGAAGAACCAAGTAAACAGAACACATATTTTTCTTTCAGGAACAATACAAAGACACGATTATATCAACCTAGAATGATTTCACATCTACGTTATCCTGTGACTGGTCTTAATGAATAGATATCCAGGGGGTTGTTTGTCTTTTAAGGCATTAGACCAATAGGTTTTCTAGAATCGTCTGGTCCTTAATAGCAAATTGAAATTACATTCTACGTTAAATGGGCTCTCTAAAGTTTTGTGATAAGATTAGAGTTTTTCTGTTGATGAATTTTGGGAAGTTTTGATTTTAGACATTAGATTGAAAGCAAAAATTCAACATGTTTCCGACTACATGCCTGTGGCGGGAAACAATTCATTTTCACATCTCATTCTTATTTCTTCCTGAATAAAACACATTCTCTGTTATTTTCGCGGCAACCATTTTAAAACAATATTTCGTCTTCCATTACAAGGTACATATATACTTTGATAGCAAAGGAAAAAATAATGTGAAAAAAACTCTGTTTTAACGAGCGTTAAAGTGCATAGCAACAAAAAAATGAAAAAGTTCCGAAATTACTTAAATCCTTTACTTCATCAACTCATAGAATTAATATTTTTAAGCTTTATCAGGAAAATGGTATGCCAAGTCGGATTTCCTAAATTTAATTCTGTGATTTGTGTTGATAATTCGTGCAAAATTTAGTTGGAATCCACTCAGGACTTCCAGACTTATACTCAAGAGTAGCAAACAGAAAACGTTGACGTTGTTTTTGATGCTGTAAACCGAATCACAACGGCAACTATGCCGTCAAAAAAAGTAGTCCACAGGTGAAATTTCTTCAGAATATCATAAAATTCGCTCTCTTTGAAGTAATAGGTATAAGTATAGATAACAAAATTTATTAGAACACAAAAGTCCAAGATATCATGTTGGAATTCACGTTGTATTGTATCATGTCTTACTTCCGGTCAAACGTCAAAGAAGTGCATCCTTAATTATATGACGTCATTGCAACAACGCGTGTCATTTGACCGCTAGTCAGGGAGACGTAAGAAAATAGCGTAATGTTATGACGGCTTGTCAAGCCGACGTCAGCAACTAATTATGAATGGACGGCTGGACATGGAAACATCAACAGCTTAGGTCAAGAGAGGACGACTGGACATTGAAACATAAACAGCTAAGGACATAGGACGACTAGTCAGGGGAGACTTCACTCGGCTAAAGGTCATACGAGGACCGCTGGACATTCAGACGTCAACAAGATCATATTAGAACTGAAAATTCTTAAATATAGTTGAATGGTATCCTGATTAATTCTAAGCTCTTCAGTGTCAACAAAGAAACCTCCGACACTGGAGAAGTTGGGATCCACTTCCAAGTCATTCATAAATACGTTTTTCTTTCATTTATTTATTTATTTATTTATTTATTTATTTATTTATTTATCTATTTGTATTTTGAAATGTTTTAATGTAAAAACACACTACTAGAGATAATCCTAACAATCGTCAGTTTGAAGATCCGTATTCAATTTCTTTCATCCTTTGTTTGATATTGGCACCGTAATACGTAGGATCTCCATGATTTATTTACCAGCAAACAAGTGTATTGTTCTTTAATTCAGAGAACCGAAACATTAATAGTGGAGACAAATCTGGATTCGGTTTCTATAAAAGCAGATGAGAAAACATCATACGAAGAACTGTTAAGACTATCCAAAACACATTCCGGTATTCCCATGTTTTATCTTTTTCAGTGAACTATGTCGTAACTCACTAAGGCTTATTTATAGAATGAATACGATATTTTTAGAATGTAATTTGGCAGCAGATAGTACTATTTACTGGTTAGAACGAGTAAAAAATGCATTAAACATTCGTCTTAAGCCTAATAGCAGAATATCAGTCGAATGTGACTCACCAATAAGTAGACGATGTGAAACAAGAGCGATTTCATACATACCCGAATTTATTTATTACTTTGCAAAGTTAACATTTCAATGGTAGACAAGTGATTTTCTATTAAAAGGGAGATAACTCAAAAACTGTTTTTTGCAGTCGGAACACCTCGGCTGATTCGTTATTTAACTATGATGGAAGGCACTGCTATCGAGGCAAGGTGTTCCGAATGTGTGTGTGTGTGTGGGTTTTTTTTTTTTACATGAAGGGAGGTAACCCATACTTACTTATGTGAGCTACCTCTTCAGCTAATAGTGGACGTAAAACCGTTAAATAAATAAACAATCTGAAAGACTCATTTGTCTGATATCTAGAAATTATCAGCACAAGAGCGATTTTCATTTATTTTTAAACAATATTTTTATTCGATATTCAACAATACAGTTGAAACTCGTTGTCTCAAAATCGCTAGAGTCGAAATTCCGTTTGAGTCGAAATAATTTTCACAGCCCATTGAATTAAGATATATCAAATATAGGTCATACAAAAGTACACATAATTGTGTCTCTGGTATCAATGTGTGTGATTGATTTACAAAAAGTGTTCAGTTATTAGATACGCATGAATAGTTCATACCCCGAAATCCGATTATTGTAGTTATCCTCGTAATATGAAGTTGAGATTGGCCAAGATAGAAAAATACGTAGTCTTTATCTCTAAGCGCGCGATAAAAACCGGGGTAACCGGGGAAACCCACGCGGTCGAGCAGTTGATCCAATACTTTTTTTCACATCCGCCTGGGAAATCGAACCCTACACGCCTAGGTGGACGGAGAGTGCGTGATCACCGCACCCACCGACAATGTCCATTGCCTCTCTGCTATCAGTATAATTGATTTACTTTAATTTCAACAATCCCAAAACAAAAGTTATTAATTAAGAAATGTGTCAAATGCCAAACATCTGCGTTTACAAAGAAAAGTATCATATAAGTCAAGAATGCTATAGTATAATGATTAAAAGGACTGTGTATTCTGTATATTGTACGTGTTATGATTTTCATACATTTTTTATTAGGAGGTTTTAATTATGATGGTAACGCTTTTCCTTTGTCTATTAAACACAGCTCGTTTTCCTTGCGGATTTTGCCAAACACGTCGACATATATAAGTGCTTTTAAGGAATTTCTCACCGAGAATTACCCTGTCACTTGAGCCCTCTAAACCTCACTTCCTCTCGGCCTTACTGTTTCTTATCTTAGTGGTACAGTAAAATTTTTACATCCTGTTATTTAAATAAAAACTGTACGCGAAATTCTTTTCTAAACGAAAGCAACGCACTGGTATCCAAATGACATTCTTACATCGGTGTTGTATTTCTACAGAAACTTTGTCGATTAAAGCATGCTTTGAACGGACATACCGCAGTCTAGCAAAAGTACACAAGCTCAGCTCAGTTCAGTTGATTTACTTTAAACCTTACGGTTTATCAGTACAGTGCATATATTTACAGTGCAAGTACAAACACAACAACAAACATAGGAAATACATAGCACACAGCACACACAGACCACGTACACAGGATCAAAGTGTAGAGAATAAGTCCAGATATCTAACTCTACACATATAAATTAAATTAATGTCTTAAACAGTATTTATTCTCCTATTGTTACTAATACTTATAAATTTTCCTAAATTCGACAGATCTTTAGTATTTTCTGTTTCCAAAAGTTGTATAAATTTTGCCATACTTGGTTTCATATAGTAATACTTTTTAATAAAACGTCTCCTTATATCTTTATAATGTTCGCATTTTAAAATAAAGTGATACTCATCTTTAATATCGCCACTCGTACAAAAGTTGCAAACTCTATCAATTCTTTCAACGTTAT